TATCAACTTATCTATCAGTAGCCTCCCTTAGTTCAAATATTGATTATACTTAGAGAATGCTATTGAGTATCGAATAAGTGGGATACGTAAAGGTCGGAATGCAGGTGATAGCGGAATACTGCTACAAAAATAAGGAAAGCAGATCCGACGATGGAAAAGCTGAAGTCGTTGGTCACACAGTTTAGTTGTTTGTAATCAATAGTCTGTACTATAGTCAATAAAACATTCAAATATGAAACCGATGTGGCAGACTTTGTGGTGTCTTTTATTCGAGTTCAGTGAATGCTACGATATCGAGTCAATTTTGCAACATAAGAATGGCAACGTCCATTGTCCACATAGTCCCATATCATTCATATAGGCTTCGCGAGAAGGGCTTACTTTTATGATCATTTGAGTTTGTTTGTTTGTTTGTATCTTTAAAGTACCTCTCGAGCATTTTTACTCATATGGAGAGGTCAACACTTGCTGATGGAGAGCTGCAAATTTTGTCCTCGGCACTTACGATCATTGAGCAGTGAACAAAGGCGGATCCATGGCCTCCCGTTTGGATTTTTTAGGTCACCTGAGTAAACTCAGGGGTGCGTTCAACGGCGTATTAGCTAACTTAGCAGCTAAGTAGTAGATATCTATCTCTATTGAACAGACAGCTAACTTAGCTGCTAAGTGTTATATTTTGAATAAAGATTTATCAGTAAAAACTTATTACTGGAACAAATAAAGTTTATTTCAGGCGAAAATATATATTGAAATTTACATTTAATTCACTTAGATATAGGAAATAACCCTCCTTTTTGTAAAAATCTTGAATGCTGCAGATTTGTAACCAAGGAAACCATCTTGGATTTGGGACGTAGCATTAAATATTTATGCTAGCTCTCCATACGTAGCAGCTTGGTTAGCCGTCCGTTCAAGAGCGTACGTAGCTTTACATAGCGGCTACGTAGCAGCTACGCTGTTGAACGCACCCCAGGTGACCTATTGCTATCCGTTTTCGTCCGTTGTCGTGCATTGTGCGTCGTGCGTTAACATTTGAACATTTTCAGCTTCTTCTCTGCAACCACTGAACCAATTTCAACCAAATTTGGCATAAAGCATCTATGGGTGAAGGGGAACAAAAATTATGAATTTCATGATCCCTGCCCCCCCCCCCCCTGGGGCCTGAGGGGTGGGGCCAAAACCATTAAAATTAATCCAATCTTTAAAAATCTTCTTCTTTACTACTGGACATCAAGCAGTCAAACTGTTTGCATGATTGTAATCAGCATTGAGTCCTCTACCAAAATAATTGTGAAATTCATGGCCCTGGGGTCAGGGGTTCTAGTTTGTTGTTGAAATTTTGTTTGTAATATCCTAAAATCTAAGGAAAAAAACAACTATTATTTGTTAGAATTTCATTTTCCCCCAGAAACCATAGTTTACAAATCGTGAAACAGTATTTATCAGATAATCTATATGTTTTGCAATCGAAAATGATTGTTTTCAGTGTTAAGTATAGTTTTCGGTTCTGAAACATATGGCACGCCAAATTCACAAAAATGAGGTAAACATAGTTTCACAGTTGATAAACTAGGGTTATCGACTGTAAACTATAGTTTACAAACCGTAAACTATAGTTAAAAATTCGTTAACTATAGTTAACAATTCGTTAATCTAAGTTTATCTGTCTGTAATAAAGCGTTAATAATAGATTTTGTTGATAAACATAGATTCACGTTTGTAAACTATAATTTACAATCGTAAACTATAGTTCAGAGTTGTTAATCATAGTTTCACAAATCGAAACTATATTTATCAGTTAATTAACAGTTAACTATAGTGAAGAGTTGTAAACTATAGTTTACAAATCGTGAAACTGTATTTATCAGATAATCTATGTTTTACAATCGCAAATGATTGTTTTCGGTGTTAAATATAGTTTACGGTTTTGAAACAGAGATTATCGCGTTAACTATGGTTTACAGATGTATATGGCACGCCATATCCACAAAAATGAGCAAAACATAGTTTCACAGTTGTAAACTATAGTTTACGGACTGTAAACTATAGTTAACAACGTTAATCTATATTTTACATCTGTAAACCATAGTTAACGCGATAATCTATGTTTCACAACCGTAAACAATACTTAACATCGAAAACAATCATTTGCGATTGCAAAACATAGATTATCTGATAAATACAGTTTCACGATTTGTAAACTATAGTTTACAAACCGTTAACTATAGTTAACGATCTGATAAATATAGTTTCACGATTTGTGAAACTATGATTAACAACTCTTAACTATAGTTTACGATTGTAAACTATAGTTTACAAATGTGAATCTATGTTTATCAACAAAATCTATTGTTAACGCTTTATTCAGACAGATAAACTTACATTAGCATTCGTAAACTATAGTTAACGACCGTTAAATATAGTTTTACAGATGAAAACTATACTTAACGAATCGTTAACTATACTTAACGTTTACGTTTACGTTTGTAAACTATAGTTTACAGTCGATAAACCTAGTTTATCAATTGTGAAACTAGGTTTATCTCATTTTTGTGAATTTGGCGTGCCATAGATGTAAAATATAGATTAACTTTGTTAACTATAGTTTACAGTCCGTAAACTATAGTTTACAACCGATAAACCTAGTTTATCGATTGTGAAACTATGATTAGCTCATTTTTGTGAATTTGGCGTGCCATAGAAACATAAATTATCGCGTTAACTATCATGGTTTATCGATGTAAAATATAGATTAACATTGTTAACTATAGTTTACAGTCCGTTCAAAAGATGTAAGTGTTATCTATATACAATTATACAGCTGCTTTTCAATAACAAGAGGCCCATGGGCCACACCGCTCACCTAAGTAGCTTTGACCATGCTGTTCTTTACCAGATTTACCCCTAGTAATTTTATATTGTGACCCCACCCTACCCCACGGGTCATAATTTGGACAATTTAAAATCTACACTACCCCAGGATGCTTTCACAGAAGTTTCAGCTTTTCTGGCCCAGTGGTTCTTGAGAAGAAGATTTTTAAAGATTTTTCCTATTTATTTCTATGTAAAACTTTGATTCCCTATTGTGGGCTGCCCTACCCCGGGGGTCATGATTTGAACAATTTAGAATCTACACTACCCCAGCATGATTCCACATAAGTTTCAGCTTTTCTGGTCCAATTGTTCTTGAGAAGAAGATTTTTAAAGATTTTCCCTATATATTTCTATGTAAAACTTGAATTCCCTATTGTGGCCCTGCCCTACCCCCAGGGGTCATGATTTTTACAATTTAGAATCTACACTATCCAAGGATTCTTCCACATAAGTTTCAGCTTTTCTGGTCAAGTGGTTCTTGAGAAGAAGATTTTTAATGACCCAACCCTATATTTGTCTTTTTTTTTCATTATCTCCCCTTGTGAAGGGACTTGGCCCTTCATTTTAACTCCCCTTCACAGAAGGATGCTTTGTACCAAGTTTGGTGTTAAAATTGGTCCAGTGTTTCTTTAGAAGAAGTCGAAGATGTGAAAAGTTTACAGACGGACAGACAGACTGACGGACGACGGACAAAATGTGATCAGAAAAGCTCACTTGAGCTTTTGGCTCAGGTGAGATAAAAATGGAACTAGTATATTTACTTACCTTGTCATTGGTCATTTGCAAAATAATTTTGCTAAAAAAAACCTTCTGATTGTACACACAAGTATTCTGTAATTGATATTAAAAAGATGCTCGAGTTTCTGGGGCCCGCTTTACATAAGAACTTAGGACTAAGTCCAAAATTTATTCTGCTCATAACTTTCTTATTTGAATTAAATTGAAATGGTTTTAAACTTTTTAAAAAAAAATGTAGAAAAATATTTTCAGGTTAGCAATTTTTAACCCAATATTAATTTTTACAATCAAATTTTGTAAAACAGGTTCCTGATTGAAAATATCTATATGGCTATTGGAGACCAACAATTTATTGGAATTCCCATGGGTACCAATTGCGCCCTGTTATTTAGCAGACCTATTTTTGTATTAATGTGAAGCAGAATTTGTCCAAAATCTTATACATAAAAAGAAGAAAACACTTGCTGGGGCCTTCATCTCGACATTTGGATATAACGACAATGTATTGTTTATCACACAAGGGTTTCCATTCTTATGTCGATGGATATATCCGCTTCAGCTTGAAATTTAAGATACTATAGTGTGTGACACATCTGTTTCCTATTTGGATGTTTAACTTGAAAAAGACGTTAATGGTTATATCTAACAACCAAGCTTAATGATAAACGTAATGACTAACTTTTCAATTGTCAACTTATCTATGCATGAATATACCTTCATCACAGGGGGTTTATATCTGTCAGTTGATTCGATATGCAAGAGCATGTTCTAAGTATGAACTATGAACAATTTTTAAAACGAGGTAAGTTACTAACAAACAAGCTGATGAAGCCAAAATATTTACAGTCTCTTTAAAGTCATAATTTCAAAAGTTTTATGGTCCATACAAAGACCTTGCTGTCAGCAAATACATTTTATCATTAGGCCAAACGTTGACGTTTTCATACTTATTGCAAGAGTATTACATACAGACTTAATTGATGGATTTTTCCATTGTTTCCCAATCGTGACAAGGAGCACATGGTGGGTGTTACTAGTCTGCAGGGGATGCTCACTCTTCCATGGCACCTGATATTTTAAAGGTCCATGATTGCTCTGCACCAATTTTGTATTGTTTCAAGGACTTTTGAGCTTGAATAATGTTCATGATCTCAATTTATATCATCGGACACAGAAAATAATAGCAAACCTTTCATTTTCTGTGTCAAGTCCTTTATCACTTCACTTGCCAAAAAATCTACCCTGAAAGTCCATAATTGTATATACATGTAGCAGAGAACAATAACACTCGAGGCCCAAGGTATTGTCATTTTCATAAAATCATGAAAGCCAAAATTGTCAGCCTTTGTAAGACATAACATTCATTGATTGAAAACCTTACAAATGCAGTGTTTTCTTCATTTATTGATAACTGTGATACTGTGTGATTTTACAAGATAGACAGAAAGGAGAGACAGACAAAAAAGTATAACAAAGTTCCTAAGTATAAAAAAGTTTTCAGTTTGATCTTTAACTTAGTTGTGCCAGAATAGCATTCATCTCCTATAATGTTTCACAAAAGGATTGGTTTTTTCAGTGTCACCACAAATTAATCAATGGCGCTATGCAATCAACTGTTTTTAAATCTACTGAAACATAAAATGGCACATACAGTATATTCATATTCACATGATTTACAATATAAATTTTTGTTTTATTTAAAAACATGTTTTGTTTTAGCTTGTTGGCAAATTCACTAAAAATCAGTCACAAGAAAAGAAATGAAAAACACAAATTTTCAAATAATATAGACTCTCCTTTCCCACCATTTCCTGGATTGTATGTTTAGGGGCATCTGATTTCACGCCCCGACTTTAAGGATGCTTATTCCCAGCACTCTGTTAACATAAACATGTACTATATTTATCAAAATAAAACTAAAAACAAGAAAATAAATTACTTTGCTATTCAAGTGATTTTTATGTCTGGATAACAACCATTTAAATGTAGTTTCTAACCTTATATTATTAAACACTTGAGTATCCAGTATATAGCATACAATCAGTTAACATACATAACAGCTTATATTTACAATGTGAACACATTTCTCTTCTCATAATACCATACTCTCTTCTTTCTTTGAAAAAGAATTTTTCAAGTGCCTACATAATATATAAATAACTAGAGAAAATATTAAATTGAATTGTTATTTTCCCACTACTTCATTTTTCTTAATCAAAAAGAGGGGCAAAAAAATCCAACAATCTTCAAGCCATGAAAAACCAGTGTCAACAAAACAAAGCACTGAAAAACAGGTGTGACATACAATGAGGCTCTTGCGTACATGTAATTTATCACATTCAAAGAGAGTTAACCCAGCACTAACCTAATGACCACAGATTCATGATTCAATAAAAATTCATCTCTCCTTACATGATTAGTTTACTATGATATTCTGGCAATTTTTCCCCCTTAAAGAAAAACAATAATAATCTAATGACATTGCTTGTTGAACCAAAGACTGAATAAGACTATAACTAAGTCAATGAAATCTGACCAAAAAAAAAATTATGACATACAAAAATGTGATATCTTTCTTAGAGACAATGAAAGACATCTTTATCTGTAATCACATTCATAATTTTTCAATTGACATTTTTCAACATCCTCTACAAAAACATTCTCAATTTTATTTAGACCTACATGCACCTATGACATTCAAACCACTCCCTGAAAATGGACTTTCTTGGGGCAAGTAGACTTTTTGTCTTGATCTTGGCACGTAGGGGGCTCAACATGTTAGCAGAGTGCTTACTCCTTCCCAGCACTACAACGTCATGAATTTCACACCACAAAACTATGGACACACTAGGATGTGGAGGGATTGGCTGACTTGATACGACCCGACCCAGATTTAGAGGTCATGAGACGTTCCACCATTGTCCTGGCATATCGGAGTCTGCTGGCCAGTTCTCGGGTACATCCGTACTTTTCAATACCACTCAGTTTAAAGACATGAAAATCTCTCTTTTCGTCGATGTATGTGACTGCTTGCATAAGTGGACATAAAATGATCTTTGTGTGGTCTTGGAAGAAATTGATCTGAAAGAAATCAAGGTTTTCAATTAATTATTCCCCTAATTTTAATGAATTATGATTAAGGGTCCTCCACACCATGTGACTTGTGACGTATATAGAGAAAAAATACGTTTACTTCTGGTATTATCGAGGTTTTGCATGAACGATTTGGCCTAACACCGTTTGTAAACAATGAACATGTGGCATGATCACGGAATGACCGATGGAAATGAATGTGCGGGGTTTTTTTTATATAAAAGAACAACAGACGTCTAGGATTATGTTACATAATAATTCGTAAACAACAGGTATCGATGGGTATGACCAGGGACCTAGTTTGACGAGAAACGTTCAGGTTATTTATACTTTCAGGCTAATCAACCGAGTCTGTTTTGATATTTGAAATATCGGCACACTAATATTTGTGCGTTTCAATAATACATTAATATCTCATTGTGTGTTTATAAATATTGATAAAATAGTGTGCGTAGCCGTTTCTAGTTTTCCTCTGTTATATTTGTCCAGTTCAGTGGCCAGTAATTACTAAATATAGTATGGTGACGTATGCGGAGACTTGCCAAAGTTTTTGAGTCCCGGGCAACAGGAAAGATAACTCCAAAAAGGAACTTTGATACCAAAGATTTTGAAAATGTTTTTTCTACACCAGTGCATTTGATTTTAATTCAATATTTTGATGTAATCTTATTCCTTAATGTATCTTCTCCACAAAAGGAGTCCTTATTGATTTTTCTTGAGATGTATTTCAGAGAAAATGATATTTATGTAATTTTTATAAATAAAATAAATTTCTGTAAAAAATATGTTGATCGATAAAATTAAGTTTTTATGGTTATTCTATGAGCTTAAAAACATACGAAAGGGTGAGACAAACTTTGTTGTGCTAGGTATGAAAACGCCTTGGGAAAAAATTCTTGAAACTTGTGAAATAATTATTTTAAAAAATCAGTATAAATTACATTTTCATCCCTGGACAGATTTTAAAGATTGATATGCTTGTTAAAAGTAATGCTCAATAATATGAGAACATAAGCTGTTGGTGTGTGGAGGACCCTTAAAACCATTTTTTCTCCTAAAATTATTATGCAGTCTGAATGATAGTGATGAAATGATTGTCGCCGACGATCGATTGTCGATCGTTTTTGGGTGTTCGATTCCGATTATCGATTACGTTTTTCATAATCGATTGTCGCCCAAATAAACTCGCCAAATTTGAACAAATTGTACAATTTGAACAAAACAAATGCGTACGCACTAACAATATATGTAAAAACGAAAAGAGGTCAACAAAAATGGCATCCGAAGATGAAGTTAACAACAATTTGATAGAACGTTCTATCGTTAAAATGATATTGTCATATTTTAACGATAAATTTTATTCGTAATGTACATGTAGCAATAGAAACACGGTCGATAACTCGTACTCGGTGCATTTACTACGGACAATCTAGAGAGTTCAGAATGTAAATATGGCAGGTAAATTTGAAGCGAGAGAAAAACATTGAGAAATTAATTGGATTTTCATCTTTATATGGATTATTTTTTTGGGATAAAAGGCATAAGCTATCTCAAAAAAGGTTTGTTTTGATTAATTTGGTAGTTATTTCCAGTGCAAATCCTTTTATATTCTTCAAAATCGTTTGTGTATTGCTACATTACAAGTATATGGGACGTATTCTAACTGTAGTGAGGGCTTAGATTATTCTAATTAAACAACAATAAGGAGAAATTTACCCATATCCAGGAAATGCAAAATCTGATGTCATGTCACTAACAACAAACATTGTTAGTTTTTATGAGCAAATATGTAATTTTTTTCTGTTTCTTTGTTACTTATACAATAAAAAGTTGTCTTTAGAATAAACTTGATAAAATTTTATTTTCAGTTTGTTCCATAAATAATAAATGCTATAAAGAAATGGAATTTTGTATTTGAAAATTGAATTACCAATTAAGTCGATGATTGATCGATTAAGCTTCTCCAGTTTTGACCGATTATCGATTATGAAATTTTCCCGATTATTCAACACTACTGAATGATCAGAATGAGAACAAATTCAATTTTTCTCAATAAGAGATACCTATTACTCAGTTTACTTACTTGTAACGTTCCATTACTGAGGTGTAAAACAATGGCACTCCTCGTCCTAAACCAGTGTCTGAGGAAAGGCAATCTGGTCATGTCATCCCCCTCCCTGGGTGTCATGTTGGCTCCAGCCTGTACAGGAAACAAATAATAATATAATGTATGAACAAAGAGAAATCAAAGAGATGTCATAAGAAAATAGAAATTATAATGAAATACATACAAATTTTTAATTCATTCTCTTTTTGATTACTGTAAACCAACTTTTATTGCGACGACTTTATTTTGCAATTTACCGGGGGTAAAGTTATTCGCAATGATTCATTTTCATGCAGTGTTTTCCCCAGAAAATTTTTGATGCATGGGGGGGATTTTGCTGAATTGACGGCGCGGCATGTGTCGGTTAAGTTAATTGTACATATAACTAAATGTATATTTAAATGAAAAAATACAAATTCATTGATTTAATTAAATGATAAATACATTTTGAACATATTGTAAATTTTACTTTAAAAATATTCAACAATTGAGTTTTTTTTAAAAATGAAAATAGAACTAATAAAAAAAAATATTTACTATATTAAAATTTTCTATAAAGCCACTGCCTTTTTACTGTTTTGTGTATTGTGTTATTTTTGCTTTCTACAAATAGACCCCTAGAGACCTCCACCTTTATATTATTCTTTTTCATGTCCCTTAACTTTTGCAGTTGTCTTGAAACAAAAAGGGTACTCATTAATATGCAGCACTAATGCTCCAATGTAAATATTGTGACAGCTTATTTACATTCATTTGGTGTATGATTTTTCCCGCTTTTGAATATAGGTGGTCACTGTGTATTAAAAGCACATATTTGAACTAAGTACCTCCCCATAGTTCATAAAGTAAATCAACATTGATAATGTTAATAACATATGTTTATTTTCACGACTTGGACATTATAAATGTTCATAGACATTAAAGATGATCATAATAAACATTGTTGTGAAAGGTAGTCTTGGAATGTTACTATGAAGGCTTGTTTATTTTCAATATACAAGAACACCACGTTTTTATTTATTCATTTTTTGGACTTAAATGAAATGTCATATCAAATATAATTTCTCTTTTAAACGATGGTAAGAACATTTGATTTTGACTAATTTATCAAAATATTACATAAGATCATCATTTTTTTATCGGCGCTTTTGTCTTGTAAAATAATTCTAAATGCATATAAATTTTATACCATCTAAAAGAAAAATGTCTTACCTTTCTAATGATGTGTCTTTTATTAAAATATTTTAATTAATAAAGAAGTTATTGTATTTTTTCTGATAGTAGATGAATTTTCTAATGATGGCTTAAGTTACTCAGTGTACTGGGGGTTGCTTGATAAAAGTTACTCAGTGTTGAAAGAGTTAACTAATGAATCATTTTTTTATGTCGGAGCATCAATGCTATTTATAGAGAGACTTGTGAATGTTGGAAAAACCCACATGTGCATTAACAAGTGTATTGCTTTTACTGTGTATACCCTCTGATAGCAATTAATTATTTTTTTATGGTTATCAGTTTAATATTTAACCAATTAAAAGCCTGATACTTAGTAACATACCAGTAAATTGCAATAAACAAAAAGTGACAGCTAGGCCTATTGCATCATACCCGTGCCGTGATTCGCATCGAGTTCACAACAGGTGCACAGAATGCGTACAGTTCACACTAGGATTCTGGTGATTTGATTTGTTTTATTGAAAGATTTGTAAGTGATAACAATCAAATGGTACCCAATTAAAAATTCATGCATAGCGGGAAGCATGGGGCCAACATGTGATGCATGGCGGGAGATCATGAATGCATGGCGGTAGCGCCATGCAAAAACGGCCTGGGGAAAACACTGTCATGATCAAGCCTTTCTGTGATCTGTTATTAATAAACAAAAAGACTTTAAGGACAGGTTCACGGCAAAAAAATATTTGTGATGACAGGGCTCTCACGAAAATTTCTTGCACGTGAATAAATGTAGGTTTACAGTATTTTTTCCCCAATATTTTGGAATGAAAGGTTACCTTGAGTAGGTGCTCATTCATGTAGTTCCTAAAGTACTTCAGTAAAGTAACTTTTTTGGTCAGGGTTTCTGGGAACACTTTAAGAGTGTGGTAATGTTCAGTACCATCTCTCTCTATATACTGCACATTCCTAAAACAAAAAACAAAAAAACACCATTATCATTATCACAAATATTATTTCTGTTCACAAAATCACTATTCAGAAGCAGGAATGTCATGAAGAAAAAAAATCCAATCCATATCTTTTTAAATTCTGTTAAAAAAATCTTGTTTTTCTTAAAATTTGATTTTAAAAGCCAGCCCTGACAGTTTTTCTTTAATAATGATTTTTTTCAGAACCACTTACTCTCCGTTGGCTAGCAGGATGAGGCGTGTTGAGTCATTGAACAGTACCCCCACACTGTTGTCACACAGCTGATAGCCTAAGCCATACTTGTCAGAGTAGTCCACCCACTTACTGACCCAGTAAATAGGAATAGATGCAGGGTCCTCCGCCTCTTCTGTAAAAATAAAACAATTCTGATTTATTCCATGAAAACATATTCACCACTCTTTGGTTATTCCAGTTGGATAACTGACTTTTACAGAAAAGCCATTAAATGCTATTAATAAATTGCAAATTAGACTTACCCTCTTGTATTTGGATTTTTTCCGATGGTTTAGATGCTATCACAGTTGAAAGGACGGCAAATAGGTCTGATAAATAATAGTCTGCTGGTTCATCACCTACAACAGACAGAACAAGTTAAGAAAAAAGTTATTTCAAATTTGAATCTTTGTCATTATATTTGTACTTGTTGAAATATTTACTCTCCAAAATCATTTACAATAAATTTATCTTCTACTTACTTCCTTTCCTTCGTCCTTCATCAGCGTCTTGTTCAGATTCCTGCGGATACTTGTCGTCTTTTTTCATGTCTGTTGGAGCAGTCTGTGGTCGTGAATTTCCATCTGAGTGAAGAGTCAAAATATGCATAAAAATTGGAACTCTGCTTATTTCTGTCTTATTTTCTTCCTCTCAATTTTTGAAACTCATGACAGAAAAAAATTTGAAATGTTTTGTTTACCAGCTCTGTTGATTTCTAGTAGAGGTCGTCTTGATAATGCTTCTGAGCGGGCTAGTGTATCAAATCTAGGAGCCATGCTCAGGCAACTGGTAGGGAGTCTAGGGGGAAGGTAACCTGTAATGAAAAGCTTCCTCATTAACTATGAAAAAAAAAATATAATCTTCTTTTTCTACATATACTTTCTTTTGACCTAAGATTTTTTTGGAACCTGTTTATTTCCAGGTAACCAAAGTGAATGAATTTGTCTTCTAACGATCTTTAATTTAAAATGCTTTTATGTCATCTCAAACAGAAATTTTATTTGGAATCTGCTTATTACCTGTGTGAAAGAATTCGTCCTCCAACAGGGCCTCCATGCCTGGTCTGTCTGTGGGATCACCTTTGAGTAGTTTAGCGATTAAGTTTTTGGCAGGTTGACTGACACGGGAGGGAATGTGATATTCATTTTTCTTGATTTTCAAGTAGGTATCCTTTAAACAGGATGTTTCAAATGGAGGCTTCCCCACCAGTAATGTGTACCTGCCATAACACAAAGCATCATAATAAAATTAACATTCCTCAATTTCGGTAAAAGCTTCATTTGTGATACTTAATCAGGGATTGACATTAACGGTTGTCCGATTGCCCGGGACAAGTAAATCTTCAGTTCGGGCAAGTGAAACCATCGATGTACTTGTCCGATCGGGCAAGTGGATATTTTTGAAAGAAACATTTTTTTTTTTATCTTACATTGGTTTATAAACAAACCAATAAATTGAACAGTTGATTTCTGCCAAAAACGTGACATTGTTTTGCATTCGGAATCCCTCGATAGCGTTTCTGGATCATAACTGTACCTTTATTTAGAAATCGGGTTTGTTATTCAGTTTTCTTTCGTAGTTTACAAACAATTAGACTGGCTTGCCTGACAAATTCTTACACGAAATATAATAATAGAATAGTTTATTTAATCACTTACAGAATATAAAGACCACCAGTTGTTCTCGATGTTTGATGTATCTTTATTCAAAACATGGTAACTGTTTTCCTTTTTGTGTGACCTCAATAGCGTGAGGGGTGAGGATTAAATTTTCAAAAAACCAGAAGTCTCTGTCGAGACTGAAGCTCTACTGGTTTGAACTTATAGCAAAGGAAGAGAAAGTACTTAAGCAGCTGGGATTTGAAACTTTATAAACAGCATTAAATAGAATAATGATCGTTGATAAAGTCTCTTTATGTTCTTAGTGTAGTCTACTTGTGTGCCAAGTTATACTGAAATCAGACCAAAACTGTAGGAGGAGTAGCATTTTGAAAGAATTTCACAGAAATTTCTATTTTTAGTAACCATGGCAACACCATTCATCAAAATTAAAATTCGATAAACAGAATTATGTATCTTAGTGTATTCTACTTGTGTGCCAAGTTATATTGAAATCAGACCAAAACTGTAGGAGGAGTAAAAAAATTTTACAGATATTTCTATTTTTAGTAACCACGACAACACCATTCATCGAAATCAAAAACCGATTTAATTAATATCAATATGACAGGGTTCGACATTCGCGCTCGATACAGAATTATGTATCTTAGTGTATTCTACTTGTTTGCCAAGTTATACTGAAATCAGACCAAAACTGTAGGAGGAGTAGCATTTTGAAAGAATTTCACAGAAATTTCTATTTTTAGTAACCACTGCAACACCGTTCATCGAAATCAAAAACCGATGCATAAAATTATGTATCTTAGTGTAGTCTACTTGTGTGCCAAGTTATATTGAAATCAGACCAAAACTGTAGGAGGAGTAGCATTTTGAAACAATTTTACAGAAATTTCTATTTTTAGTAACCACGGCAACATCGTTCATCGAAATCAAAAACCGATACACAGAATTATGTATCTTAGTGTATTCTACTTGTGTGCCAAGTTATACTGAAATCAGACCAAAACTGTAGGAGGAGTAACATTTTGAAAGAATTTCACAGAAATTTCTATTTTTAGTAACCACGGCAACACCGTTCATCGAAATCAAAAACCGATTTACAGAATTATGTATCTTAGTGTATTCTACTTGTGTGCCAAGTTATACTGAAATCAGACCAAAACTGTAGGAGGAGTAGCATTTTGAAAGAATTTCACAGAAATTTCTATTTTTAGTAACCACGGCAACACCGTTCATCGAAATCAAAAACCGATATACAGAATTATGCATCTTAGTGTAGTCTACTTGTGTGCTAAGTTATATTGAAATTAGACCAAAACTGTAGGAGGAGTAGCATTTTGAAAAATTGTTTACAGACAGACGGACGGCGGACGCATTACTATCACATAAGCTCTTCTGGTCTCTGACCAGTAGAGCTAAAAAAATTGTAAGGAAATATTATTAGTGCTTTGCTGTGTGTGTTTACAAGATAGTAGACGACAGGAAAGTTGGTTACATATATTTACAAAATGTTGCATCATCGTCATATCAAAAAATGATTTTTTCCCCAGGCAGTTAAGTTTAAAACAGAAATTAATTCGTAACTCTTAAATATTTACAGTAACAAATTAAGATACTGTAACTGGTATTTTCTTCTTTAAAATTTTTGGGCAACCAAATTTTGAGTTCGGACAAGTCAAATTTGTAGTTTACTTGCCCGGAGGACAAGTGAATATAAAAGTTAATGTCTATCCCTGTTAATACACACAAAATATGAAAGTTAAATCCTTAGAATGGATGCAACAATTTATTCTTTGCTTCTGATTTATTAACCCTGGCACTTCACTTACAGTATACAACCAAGAGACCATACATCAACTTCGTAACTGTGGCCCTTCTTTCCAAGGACTTCAGGGGCAATGTAATTAGGGGTGCCACATAATGTTCTGTTAAAAAATAAATGTATACATATTAACAAATGCTTTTCATTGGATTTATTGAAACTTCCAAAAGTTCTTGGGAATATACACTATTCTTAACTTGAGATTTCTTCAGAATAACACAATGAAACAAAAGGCAATAAAATTAGTATCATAAAACCATTAGAAGAGAAGACAGGCCCAGAACTAGATATTCAAATTGTTTATGGCCTAATTTATAACTTATAACTATCCCGCTAACCTTTTCCTTTCCCCATCGTAATCCACTCTTGTAGCCAATCCAAAGTCTCCAATTTTGACCTCCATTTCATCGTTGATAAATAAATTTCCTAGCTTCAGATCTCTATGGATGACTTTGAAGTTGTGTAGATACTGACAAGCGAGAATGACTTGTCGCACAAAGTAACGGGCCTCTGGTTCTGTGACTGCTTTCCTTCTCTTGTGCAGTTCCATCAAAGACTAAATAAAACACCAAAAAATGCTATTAACAAAAATTGTAGTCGAGGATTTCTTAAATGAAAATATTGAAAGACTCTAAATGTGGACTTAAATATCACCGCAGACGTTCATGCTTTGTAAAATATGCTTTTACCGGTAATTAAACTTAGAAATATATAAGGAAATTTATCTCAATTTAAAGAAAATCATTTTTGTGACTTCATCATGTTCATTCTTCAAGAATACTTTATATAAATATATAAAAACAAATACACAAAAAAAAATTCTGACATATCAATAATCCTACATTTAATTAATATCAATATGACATGATTGCTTTGACAATGTCACAAAAACACTTTCATAAGATAACAGAAGATAAATGATAAATGCAGCCTCAGGTCATACTTCATTACTGTCACATTAGCACCTGCTTCTTACAGACACTATTGGGTGTCAGGGTGCTAATGGCACCCATTAAGACTTACCCGTCTACGACACAGTTCCAGCAGTATGTAAACATTGTCCATGTCCTCAAAGAAACTGTGAAATTTAACGATATGTTTGTGGGAAACACTGCGATGAATACTGATCTCTTGGGTCATCTGAAAAATTGAATATTCAGTGAGATAATGATTTTAAATGATCTAGGAAGTATCAATTCAAGTGTGGTGATTCTTCAACATTTCTGATAATAAAAAAAAATATTGGTATCACCATAAGCACACATCTTGTACAAGAAATTCTGATTTCTTGACAATAAGACATTACTAATCAATCATTTACCTTGTCTTTCTGGTGCTGTTTCACCAGGAGGGACTTGGGAACAATCTTTCCAGCAAAAATCTCCTTTGTATCTGTGTCTGTCAACTCGTAACATTTTGCAAAACCTCCCTAAAATATTTGATATCCAATTATATTATCATTTAACAGTCAGGGGCAGAGTTTTTGAAATCCACCGGTCCCACCGGCAAAACCGGTAAATATTTCAAATGTCCGGTAATTTTCTTCATGTAATCGGTCCAAAGGACCGGTAAAAAAAAAAATTGGACAATTCCGGAGTTTTAACCTCTTAACCTGTGAATTTTAAGTTTATTTGTGAGAAAGTCTAAAGGATTGGATCTGTGTGTATGATAGAATAAACTCAAGGGCTTTTACGACAGATAGTCGTGTCCTGTCGTATCTGTATTTGTTCAATCAGTTAATTCAATTTGTACAAAAATGTTAATTGTAGCTTTATTTGGGATACAACATATGTCAACCTAATCATTATTTACCTTTAATATAAAGAGTTCATAATCATTATTGTTAAATTAAACATTATCCCCACAACATTTAGAACTTGCTTTGCAATGGTAGGCAGCCATGTTGGGTATCCACTAAAAATATCACACCTGGTTAATTCAGTATATTTGATAATTTTTAAGGCCTATACTGGAATTAAAACATTTTTTTTTTGTTTTTGAATATGTGTATGCTGCTTCCAGTGAATATTTGTGTGGACCGGTAAATTTCACTAAATCACTGGTCCACTTGACCAGTGAATATTTTTTTATTTCAAAAACTCTGCAGGGGTGGTACTGAAATCAGTCATTTTTGAAAATGATGGATAATGGTCATTTCTTCTAAGTATATAATGTACATAATTTTCTGATTTTTGTAAAAATGAAACACTCATATTTCCATTCTCAAGTCAATTTTCCCATCCCATTTACTACAGTAATTAGATATAGTACACTATCCTGCCATAGGCCCTTGTGTAGAGAAACATCTTGACAAGTAATTGAAACCAAAATAATTTAGTGCGCCCCGTAAAACTAATGAGATAATTACAGTGCGCCCAATCAATTTGATAAAAAATGATAAAAACAGTCATTTTTAATATCAGAGATAACTCTATTTCTAAAATAAATTTCAAAATAGAAATGACTGTTTTTCATCATTTTACTATAAAAAGATGAATTTCCATCATTATTCAAAATCAATTTAATGACTGAAAATCATCATTTTCAAAAATGACTGATTTCAGTACCACCCCTGACTGTTTAAATAGAATATAAGCTAAAGCTTCCCACCTTAAAATGGTTACCTCTCTCATGTTTTCCCTGAATTTTATATAAAATTTTGAGTACAATGGTTGAAACTGAACTCTTTATGAAAGCTTAAGCACCTCCATTTAACCTTCCAACCCCCCAACCCCTAGGCTTTTTCAAAGGAAAATGGAAACTTGTTAACTCAAGTCATGATTACAAAACTTTTGTAAAAATCTTTTCAAACTCTATGCTAAATCAAAATTGACATGATTGAGGTTTTTTTTTTTTAATTAAAAGAACCATGATAAAAGGAATTTTCAACAAATACACCCCCCCCTTCCAATTAATATTTACCATGGAATCCATACAAAGAACTTTAAAAACTTGAAAGTGAGAATATAAATCAAATTATTTGACAATGGAATGTATGTTTGAAAATGCTTTCTGTCAGCATACTCAATAATTTTCATGAAAAATTGTTATTTTATTATATGCATCATCATCATTTATTGTAAAGTGCATATTGTATGAAAAAAAATATAAATGAAAGATAACATTAGGGCAAATATAATTTCATGATAAGTTAGTGTTGAAGTTTTAATTACTGTAATCATAAGTGACCAATTTACAAATATTCTATTTGTTTATAAAAATGATCCTCCATTTTTCAATTTAAAATCTCTGACATGCCTGTACACGCTCTGAAAAAGAAGTTGCTTCCAATAGTTCCACAATAAGAATGCAATAAACATTTTGAATTAAGTTTAAGCATTAACTGCTGTAATGTCTATTTGATATATGCATTGTATCAAAACCAAATTGTACCTTGCCCAGAAATCTGCCTTTTAGGTATCTTTTTCCACTCCCAGGATCAATGACAATGTCTGGCACTTCCTTGCGTATTTCCTCTCGTCTTAGCGCACTTGACATTTTCTTCTACGTTTTGAATGTTGTCATAAATAAATAGAAATTAAAAGTCAATACAAACTTAACAAGAGGATTCGTTCCTTTTTCTCAAACGTCCCTTCCCTTTCAACCTGCCTTGGTTTAAATTTAGCAGTTTGAAGATTGTGTACAGCAACAACCAACTGATTGGCTATAACATTTAAGTTTAATTTCATTGGTTAAAAAGATTTTCACGCTAGAGGGCAGATTGTACAAGCTTTTCGTTACTTTTCTAGACTTTTTCATTTCTCTTAATCTAAATGACCGAGGAGGGTGCGTCGATTTACCCAAAAGGACCCAAAAGGACCCAAAAGGAAAAAAGGACCCAAAAGGAACCCAAAAGGACCCATTTGGAACCCAAAAGGACCCAAAAGGAAATCATGAAGGACTCGAATTAATATAGTATAATACATTGAAAATTAATAATTTGAATTAAATTATGAATATTATATTATAAATTTACCTAAAAATTGGCAAAAACATACATTTTATATTGTTGCAACTTTTCTTAAAGAAATAACATACGACTTTTATAACACATCAATCATTAAATCTGGTCAAATATGCTTTGATTTCTTTTAGCTGAATTTAACAAAGTGCACTGTATTATTCTATTTCTCCTTCTGTTTTATTATATCTTATTATATGATATTTGATAAATAAAGAAATAAGTTTATTTAACATGTTTAATGACATGTTCTAGGCATATGGTATCGGGGATGGGTGGGGGTGGGGGATGGGGGGGGGGGGGGCTCCCACCTCAACCCAAACACGCACTTTACCCTCAAAAAACTAGTTTTAGTTTTAATAAAATATGAAAGTATTCATTATATATCCATTTAATCTCTTTATTTCAAGTCCTTTTGGGTCCTTTTGGGTTCCTTTTGGGTTCCTTTTGGGTCCTTTTGGGTTCTTTTGGGTCCTTTTGGGTAAATCGACGCACCGTTACATCATATAATTTGTGTGCATTATTTTGATTGGACAATTATATCAAATGAACAAACGCGTTTCATTCACAAATGGAAAAGGATCCACATGGCTATGCTGGCAGAACCCCGATTTAAACGAAAAATTTCAATAAATCCTAATGGAAATGCATGGAGTAATGGTAAAGTTGTATTTTATTGAAACTATTATGCAATTTCAAGTGACTTTATCATTGATTATTAAAAAAATTAAATTACACTAGGATATATTGTGTGATTTTGTTAAGAGGAAATTCGGGTTTTATTCTAATCATGGCCCTAAAAGATTATTTCCTCTCTGTTTCATGAATGTCCATCTCCACACTTTCTTTAAACCTACGTCTGCGAATGCACTTTTGGTATAGTTCAAGGAATACACAACATAATCAGATAATGTATTATCAATAATAAATAATTTAAAGCATGAAATATTTAGATATTTTCACAAATGCAAACAATATTTCAATACAATTTGTGAAAAAAAAATGTCATCTAATGTTTTATAGGAAAATTTGTCTGCATATTCATGTATTTTATTTACAGGGCTTGTCTTCTGGATTGTTAAATGTAAAATAAATTCACAGAATTTTAATTATTTTTTGAATACTCATAAAAAATTGTTAGAATAAAGATTTTCACACTTTCAGTCAAGAAATACCAAGTTTAATTTTAAAACAGACATACACCGCACCTATGTACATAAACTCTACAAAGGACTAAAGCTGTCATTTTGGGAATTAAAATACCCCTACCCTTTCAGTGACTGTGTGTATATCTGGACTCTAAAGCATTAATTTATTTAGTTATCATGGTTATGTACAGTGATGATTTTACTAAATATTTATGTGTTTGTCAGCCGTCAACACATGTTGTATCAACAGTAAACAGATACAATATCTTCAGGCCAAAGTTCATCGTTTTAAATTGACCTTGAAAGTATGGAAAGAACTTGAAAGCCCCTTATTTTTTTAATGTCTCTCTTGACACTTTCTTTAAAGTTATGTCTGTGGATGTACATTGGGTATAGTTCAAGAAATACACACCATAATTCATTATCAATTCTTTATGTACATCACCATAACCAGGGATTTATCAAGGCTGTTTTTACTACCGGTAAACGGTACCTTTCCCCTCTTGAAAAAGGTGCAAAAATTCCCCTTTTTCAGATAGAAAATTCTCTGATTAAATGGAATATTTAAAACATCGTTCTTAAATTTTCCGTTTTTGTCCAATTGAAGTTTTACAGCTAATTTACCATCCTAGTCATTCAAACGCTTTTAAAAGAAAGAATATATTATTCAAGCTTTTATTTGACATTGATCGGTAAACATGTGCCAAGTCCATGGAGATGATGTCAAAGATACGCGTGGGATTGCAGAGTTAAGAAAAGTGTAGATGAGTAAGATGGAGCTTATATCACTATGAATCTATTTTAAGAATGGAGTAACAACAAAAACAATGTTAGTAGTGAAACATGAAAAACAGAATTGTTTTGTGATAGATATTGAGAGAAAAAATTAAATAAAGTCCTGACCTGGTTTAATTTTTTTTGTGTGTGTGTTGTTTAGTATTTTGCCTAAAAAGTGAAGTTTTTGTGGCCTTTGTAAAGGTCTACAAATGACCCTCAGAAGCTCTAAGAAATTGCAGGATTTTGCTCCATTTATTTAAAAATTTTCCTTTAACATTATGGCATGCCCCTGACAGACCCTTATTCCTTTAATATTTGGGAATACTCGCGCCTCTGGCACTCAGATCGAGTCTGTGGCTCTCATTTTTCCCCTTTACATATAAAACGGTAGTAAAACAAAATAGCTAGATAAATCCCTGATAACAAGCATTTTCATATTGATAAAACAAAAACTTAAAATCTGTCCAATTGTAGATGAAACTAAATTTGGCCAGAAGTTAATGAAGAAATATGGATGGAGTGAAGGAAAAGGACTAGGCGTAAAGGAGGATGGCAATCCAGACCATGTCAAAGTAGAGTTTAAGTTTGGAAATAAGGGTAAGCACAAAGATAGACTTACCAGTATTTGTTAAAATGTTGACAGTGCAACCGTTGAGGCAAGTGCAATTGTGTAATTAATGAATATATACAGGTAATGAAATAACACTTAATTTTGATTTATCTCATAATTTATATTTAAGAATTTCAATAAACTCATGTACAATTAGTTTTTTCCAGTTAACCCACCCCTGGTTAATTTATGATTTCACTTATTACATTAGTCTTCAAATGTACTTTATTTATATTTAAAAAACTTAAGTTGCATGCAGTCATATTTAATTAATTTGGTAATAATGAAAAAACTTTAGTTAATATTCTTTTGTGAAACACATTATCTGAATTTGTTTATAAGCTTTTATTTTGTGGTGTTCATAAAAAAATGCCCATATTCATTCAGAACATCATAAAGATTAATAACTATAAGAGATATTTCAATGTTTTAAAACTTTGTATTGATTCCCACTCATAGTAATACAAAATGGTGTTTATTTTGCTGCAAAATATTTTAGAAATGGAAATAACATATATGTTACAGTATATGAACATGCTTTTTTCAGCTATATCTATTGTCTCACCTGTTGTGTTGATTAACAGGTGTAGGATACAAACATAATCACAGTGATATCTGACCTGTTTACCTGTATAGTTAATGTCTCACCTGTTGTGTTGAATAACAGGTGTAGGATACAAACATAATCACAGTGATATCTGACCTGTTTACCTGTATAGTTAATGTTTCACCTGTTGTGTTGATTAACAGGTGTAGGATACAAACATAATCACAGTGATATCTGACCTGTTTACCTGTATAGTTAATGTCTCACCTGTTGTATTGATTAACAGGTGTAGGATACAAACATAATCACAGTGATATCTGACCTGTTTACCTGTATAGTTAGTGTCTCACCTGTTGTGTTGATTAACAGGTGTAGGATACAAACATAATCACAGTGATATCTGACCTGTTTACCTGTATAGTTAGTGTCTCACCTGTTGTGTTGATTAACAGGTGTAGGATACAAACATAATCACAGTGATATCTGACCTGTTTACCTGTATAGTTAGTGTCTCATCCGTTGTGTTGATTAACAGGTGTAGGATACAAACATAATCACAGTGATATCTGACCTGTTTACCTGTATAGTTAATGTTTCACCTGTTGTGTTGATTAACAGGTGTAGGATACAAACATAATCACAGTGATATCTGACCTGTTTACCTGTATAGTTAGTGTCTCACATGTTGTGTTGATTAACAGGTGTAGGATACAAACATAATCACAGTGATAACTGGATAGCTCATCAGGATGACTTCAATGCCATCCTGGCCAACTTAAATGAAGGGAGCACAGAGGAAGCAGCCACTGTTTCCAGCATAGAGTCAACATCCAAAAAGTCCAGGAGTCGTGTACAGTCAGTATAAAATATTCACCCTCGTAGAAATGAAAATGTTAAATTTAATCTTTTACAGAAACACTTGTGACAATATCCTGTGCAAAATTCATTGTGATAGGTAAATCTTTGATTTAGTTTTTACCCAGCTCTCTGTTCTATTCAACTGATTTTCATTTCAGTGTTATGTGATATATTACTTTAATAGTCACAAATTTGACTTGAATGGATTTGTCCAAAACACAATGTTATTTTCGTATAGCTACATGTACCAGTATTTGAAAAAGTAATTAATGAAATGTAAATTTTTTTTAACAGCTACCAGAAGTTTGTTCAGGGGAAGGACCTGTCAAGAAGATCAGCCTCGGATTTAGACTCCATTTTTGGTGTCCGTAGCAAGAAGAAAACCCAGGAGGCAGGGGAAGAGGATGATATTACAACTGAGGATAAACCCAAGGTCAGTGAACAGGTGAAATAAACCTAGCACGAAGAAAGTTTATTGTATGGTTTGTTACTGCTTCTGAATATGTGTAAATACAAATATTGAGAAGAAATTTTTGGGACATCAATTTTTAGAGGATATCAACTGTTATTTTAAACTGTCATCTTTCCCTTTTAAAAGAATCAGGGAATGAATTATTGTCTTTGAATTTGCAAATCGATTGCAATCAAACACAATGAAAGGGAAGAAACTCCATCCACCACTGAATAAGAAAAAAAGACACCCCCATTAAAAAATTCAAATATAGTTCAAAATTTTCAAAAAGTGGGGCTTCTCAAAAATTATTTTGAGTAATTTGAATGATTTCTTTTTAAGTTATTGTATGAAATCTGAAATATATAGTTCTTTATTTTGTCTTTCACAGGAGGACCATGGTTCTATAGTCACCTTCAACAGCACTGATAGTCTACAGGAATACTTCGCCAAGAAAATGGCTGCAAGAAAGGGAGGTAATCAGCAGTCCCAGAAGGTATTAGAGACCGTGACTGAGCAAGACTTTGAGGAAAATGAATCAACTACTGAAAAGAGGAAGAAGAAAAAGAAAAGGAAAGCTGACTCTGAAAATTGTGAAGAGAAGACATGTGAGAGAAAAGAAGACAAGCATGTCAGATTCTCACTGGGAGAGGAGGTCAATGAATTGGGTTCAAAGGTCAAGAAAGCCAAGAAAAGGAAGAGTGTGGAGGCAGTTGAGGCTAGCGTGGTGTGTGATGACAGTAATGTTGAGGACTGTAAAGAATTAGTGAAAAAATCAAAGAAGTCGAAAAGGAAAGGAAGGAAGGAATCTTGTGAAAATGTTGAATCCATGGAGATTCAAGATGACATTAGCGAGTGTGTGAAAAAATCGAAAAAGTCCAAAAAGAAAGAAAAGGAGACAAAAGTTCCTTTAGAAGAGAATGTAATATCTGGGGACAATGAATGTGCAAAGGAGAGCAAAAGGGAAAAGAAGGAAAAAGGGAAAAAGAAAGGAAAGGGAAAATCTACAGAAGAGAGTGTTGAGACAGTAGAAAAAGTGCCAGTTAAAAGACAGCTAGAAAATGCTGATGATGAAGAGGTGACCAGATCAAAGAAAAAGAAGTCAAAACAAGGTGAGTTGGGTAAAAGTGGGACAACTGATGGTCGGGCAAAGCGAGTGGTGTTTGATTCTGAGGGAAACTTTGAGGGAGTTCATGAGGTGGAGGAAAGTTCTGTGCAGATACTGAAAGAGAGCTACATGAAAACTTTCATGCCTAACTATACTGAAAAGTTGAAGGCAGGCAGTAAGGTGAAAAGGACTTCAGAAAAGAAACTTAAAAAGAAGACGGTAAAATCTTCAGCCAAAAAAACTACCTCAAAACCCACAGTGGAAAAACCTCAGGAACACAAGTCACTTACAAAAAACCCCAAACAGAATAGGGTACCTGCTCGAAATGCAAGGAAAAATTTGCCAGGTAGACAACTTGGTTTGCGAAAAACTGTTGGAGGAAACAAAAGGATTGTAAACAATTCTAGCAGAAAACAAGTTCCACTTGACAAGAAAGCATCTCAGTCAACTTGGACTTTAAAAAGATCCAATGAGAAAAGGACAGTTCAAGATACTTGGAAAAAAGGTAAACCTCTCCTTACTCCACAGGAGAAGAGGAAGATGTTGGAACAAGCTATCAAAACTAAGCTGCCTTCCATTGTAGATGTGTTTAAATCAAAAGGTGCTAGTGTGCACACTGTTGGTGGGCTTTATGAAAAACCTGTAGAAAGTGAAAAACAAGCGAAAACCGTGAAAAGCGACAAGGTAGAAAATTGTGGAAAGAAGGGAGGTAAAAGTGTGACAAAAAGAAACTTTGCAAAGAAAGGGAAACAAACTGTGCCAAAAGGAAATTCTGAAAAACTATTAACTAAGAAAAAAGGCCAAACAAAAACTGTGAAAAAGACTAGTAACAAACCGAAAGCATTTTCTGACGTTGAAAAGGAAAAAATTGAACAAATTCACAAACGTACAGGAAAAACGCTCACTCGCCATCAGTTGAAAAAATCCCTGTGGTATGCAAAACAAAAGCTCAAAACATAACAACATGCCACTTGGTAAATTGTTTTAAATTTTTATTTAGTTTATTTAATTATGCCAGTTTACCTAACAAATACTTTTTATGTCAAGATAGTATATTGTAAAGTTAAATTTTTGAATTTTTCTGTTAAGAAACAAGCTTTTCTAATTAGAGTACTTGTATTAGGACTAAAGTAACATTTATGGACAATGTAACATACAAGAAAATCGATCAGTTCCCACAGATCTGTAATATTTAGACAATGCAAAAGGATAAGGGTCACTCTTTGGGCACATACACCTGATCCTTCTATTCCTCCTTTCTTCTGGATTCCAATTATCCCCTCTGATGTTAATGAAATCCAGAGTAAAATTTCCCCTTGGTCCACCCAAGCTGAGAATTGTATAAAATACCAGTTATTCAAAAATTTGAATTAATAATTTATTATTTATGTTGAATTATTTTAAAGAAAGAGAGGGCTAAATTTTGACATTACCGGTAATATGAGATTAAGTAAAAATACCATTGTTCTGTGTCAGCTATATTTGCTATCACAAGTTCTTTATTGGACATTTTATATTTTCATAGGTAAAAAACACTAGTATCCATAGACTACAACTGGAGATCAAATGGAAAGGGCTGGGTAACCTGTATATTGTTAAAGGGAGACTGTTTGTTGATATAATTAAAATGACTTTCATGTATTGTGATATGAATTGATATATTATTGAAATGTTATGTAAAGTGAATGTCATAAAGAATGAAAAGAAGATTTGGGTTGTTTTACATGTATTTTGATAGAGGTGAAAAGTCTATATGACTGTATTTAATTCAATTAAAATTTATTGTATTAATTGTACACAGCAATGGATATAAATTGTAAGGGATACATGTATAACTCGGGCATCATTCAATCATTCTACTTCAGTGGGTTTCGTCAGAAAGTGAATAAGACACTCCCAGTAAATAATGCATGAAAATTTTATTAAAAATATGTTAACTTGCATATGAAAAGTACAGGCATAGCCATAGAAACCTGTTGATTAGTGTGGATCTCTCACATTTTTCTTTTCATATATAGCTTAATTAAAACTTGATGGTGTAGGAATAAACACTAATGATGTTCAGTAAATCACTTTATACTCTGGCCATTTTCAAGCAAAATTGTTACAGAATGCGCTTGACAAAAGCTGAATATGATTCATAAAAGGAATTTATATTCCATTCTGTTTTATATTCACTTGTTATATTGGAGCACCTTTATATAAAGCTGATCACTAAGTTACTCTTCAGTGTATTAAGTTTTTACCTGTGTACTGGTACATACACAGCACTTGGTAGCAACAAAAAATAACAATTCTTCTTCCATATTGCAGGAGTGAAAGATGCCAAAGAAACATACAATAGTTACATTGGTCAACGCATTATTCAGACAAACACAAATACTTGTAACTACAATACATGTAATATGTAGAGATATCCAGCACAAACATGTATAGGCATTCAATGCAGATACCAATGACAATAAAGCAGTCAGTTGTAACAAATGTGAAGGTGCAGATATTGTAGGTAGCATAATGTAATACATCATGTATTGTGTATGTCTATTTACTAACTGTGTTCAGCTTTAAAGAAAAGTCAGATGAATCATTAGGCCCAGAACAACAAGCATGAATAAAATTTTCTTAAGGAGTGTAGATTCAAGGTTAAAATCGTTTGCCTTTAGACTAGGGTTAGGTCACGGTAGAGAAACGTTTTTGCGTAATAAAGTATGAAGTTTACATGATTAAAAAAAAGCAGAAGAACAGTAAGGGCAGGATTAGGTATATATTCATAGTGTGATTTGTTTAACCACAGAAGGGATAGGTGAATAATGTAATTACTATGGTCCATGGCATGGACTCCATGCACTTGCTAATTATGAAACAGCTTTGATTAAAATGGCCAAGTAGAACTTGGAATGGAATGAGGAGAGAAATGAGATTACTATTACAGTGTATCTATTTCAACAAAGATGCAGGTGATATGAGAACATAATTACCCCGGTCACTCATTCAGTACTGTTTGTGGAGGTTATAGACAGTTTTGAACTATCAGAGCTATACATGCCAATTGAAATGGAACATATGGGGGACCAACTTTGACTCTTGGCCTATAGCCCCAGAATCAATACTATATACAGGGTTATATTTGCCCCATGTTATTTTCGCCCTTTTTTATTTGGAAACAAGTTTGCCACATTTTAATTTTGCCCAAAAAGATTTTTGTTTAAAAGATATTGTACTGTTTACTTTGAATTCGCCCGGTTTTAAATTCACCCACTTTCGATGAGGGTGAAAATTAAATGGGGACTAAAATTTCCTTGTTTACAGTAATCAGTTTTACATGCTAGTCAAATGTAAATTGTTTTAAAAACAATTCTCAGCATTATATGTAAAAGCATATTTATAAGCTAAAGGATAAAAATTAATATCTTGTTTTTAGCTAAGACATTTATGCGATAACGCTCGTTTCCGTCCGTCGAAAGGTCAAGGTCAAAGTCCGTCTGTCTGTAAACAATTTTTCAAAATGCTACTCCTCCTACAGTTTTGGTCCAATTTCAATATAACTTGGCACACAAGTAGACTACACTATGATCATAATTCTGTGTATCGGTTTTTGATTTCGATGAAAGGTGTTGCCGATGGTTACTAAAAATACTTTCTGTGAAATTCTTGAAAATGCTACTCCTCTATTTTACTTATAAAAATAACTTACACACAAAATATAAGATACACAATTTTGTGTATGTTTTTTAATGAGCCGTGGTTAAAAAATAAAATTTCTGTGAAATTCAAAATGCTAAACATCAATATAACTTGGCACACAAGTGTACACTAAGATACATAATTCTGTGTATCATTTTTTTTGATTTCTGGTTATTAAAAATAGAAATATATTGAAATTCTGTGTCAAAATGCTACACTCTGCAAACTTATTGATTTCAATATAAACACAATCATTATACAAAGATACACAATTCTGTGTATCGGTTTTTGATATATCAAACGGTGTTGCCGTGGTTTGAAAATAAAAATTTCTGTGAAATTCTTTCAGCTAATGACAGTTTTAGTCTGATTTCAATATAACTTGGCACACAAGTAGACTACAGAAGAAGAGAGATTCTGTGTATTGGTTTTTGATTACGATGAACGGTGTTGCCGTGGTTACCTAGAGATTTCTGTGAAACACACACACTCTTGATAAGTTTTAGATATGATTTCAATATAACTTGGCACACAAGTAGACCAAAGATCATTAATTCTGTGTATCTTTTTGACTGGATGAAAGGTGTTGCCGTGGTTACTAAAAATAGAAATTTCTGTGAAATTCTTTCAAAATGCTACTTTACATTTTATCTTTACAATATAACTTAGCACACAAGTAGACTTAAATACACAATTTTGTGTATGATTTTGTTTCGATGAACGGTGTTGCCGTGGTTTAAAAATAGAAATTTTGTGAAATTCTTTTAAAATGCTACTCCTTCTACAGTTTTAGTCTGATTTCAATATAACTTGGCACACAAGTATTAAGATACATAATTCTATCTCTCAAACGGTGTTGTCGTTATAAATAAGCCTTTCAAAATGCTACTCCTCCTACAGTTTTAGTCAATTTCAATATAACTTGGCACACAAGTAAAACACTAAGATACACAATTCTGTGTAGAAAATAAACAAAAATAAAATTTCTGTGAAATTCTTTCAAAATGCACACCTTCTACAGTTTTAGTCTGATTTCAATATAACTTGGCACACAAGTTTTCACCAAGATACATAATTCTGTGTATTGGTTTTTGATCGACGATGAACGGTGTTGCCGTGACCAAAAATAAAAATTTCTGTGAAATTCTTTCAAAATGCTACTCTTCTAAAATTTCAATATAACTCACACAATCAAGATGTAAAATAATTCTGTGTTGCACACCTTGATTTCGTGAATAATGTTGCCGTGGTTACTAAATTTTCTGTGAAATTCTTTTAAAATGCTACTTACAATTTAAGTCTGATTATAATATAAATGTTGCATGCAAGTAGACTGCACTAAGAACATAAAGAGACTTAATCAAGGATAATTATTCTATTTATCTGTTGAAAAGTTTCAATTTCCAACTGCTTAAGTACTTTTCTCTTCCTTTGCTATAAGTACAAACCAGTAGAGCTTCAGTAAAAAGACTTTGAACTGTTCAAAAGGGATCTCTTTAAGAAAGAAAGGTCAAGGTCAAAGGGATCAAATTAAAAAAATGTTCGATGATTATCTTAGAATTATTTCCTTGAATTGGGTTAAAATCAAATTTGAGAAGAGGGTAGTCAAGGTCACAAAGGTCAAGATTATAATCATGATTCAATTAAAGACCTTTGCAAATTATTCTAGAATTTAAAGAAAAGAAAAAAAATTTCAATTTAAATAGCATTTTATTAGTGTTACACATATGACTATGTTACTGTAGGTAACTAGCACTTCACCATAACACAATCACAGAGAGTTCTATTGTTGATTTCGTACAAGCAGAGTAGTATCAGTTATAGCAAACAATATATCATATACTAGACAAACAATCGACAATCTTCACTAAACATTCAGCAAATCTTCACTAAACATTCAGCAAATCTTCATTAGATAATTGGTAAATCTTCATGAGTACACATGTACTCTGAATGCTTTTTGACAAGAACATGTAAAACACAAGTGATATGTACTAATATCTTACGATAATAGGTACAGCACAAAGAAACCAACTTTTTGTATCAAGTAAGGACAATACACTTCTCTAATATAATGTAAGTTCAAAGCTTTTCTAATATTGCACACATACATATTATGTCGAATTAAATTCTTAGCCCGCAACATAATGAAATAAAAAATATTTGGTCTTTCATTGAACATATATTATAAAATATATTATCATTGTCAGTAAAACATGCAGAACTATTAATATGCAAGCCAGTTTTTTGATACAAACACAGAATTCCTATTTTAACAAATCTTTTGGAATGAAAAAGAAAAAAGAAAAAAATGAAAACTGGAAATAAAATTTGATATGGGACATGTTTCATTGTTTTTAAAAATTGTCAAAATTCATTTGCTTGTGACAAAACCAATGTAAATAATAAAAACAGGAGGAATGTAGGATTTGGAATGACATTTATAAATAGAATGGATGATTTCATGATTACTAGAATTTCATCTCAGCAAAAACTCAGAGCATGTTAATAATAAATGCATGAAAAAATGTAGTGGTGTCATGACTGAGCTAATACAGCTACTCCTTGATACCTGTATAAAGTTAATAGAGTTTTCTGAGATCCTGAAAATTTATTTCATAAATATGACTAGTCTATAGATTCAGACTTTATGTATATGGAAGCATTGCGCATTAAAAACATTAACATGGTATCAAATAACTTGAGTTCTTCCAAACAAAAAGAGGTATCAATCTCATAAAGACGTAAACCATGCCCAAGTCCAGTATTATCACAGTCTATGTGTGGTTCTACCACAATAAAAATGTAATTTTACAAACATAACAAGAAACACACCATTAACAATGTCTATAATTACATTACTAACATGCCTACACACTTAAAACAAGAAACTGATTTCTCTCAACTGCTGATATTAATCAGAGCTAGGTTATTTAGAGGCAGAATTATTACATGATTATTGCTTAATCTAAGACCTTGGTGGCACTGGGGGTAAATTCATTGGTCTTTTTGGAACAGGCGGATGCCCTGCGGCAGGCCCCCTTGTAGGAACAGGGGGAAGAACTCTTGTAGGAGCTTGTCCATTGGAAGGGGGTCCCTTGGGAATAGGGGGAGGGGCAGTGAGAGGGGGACCTGAAGGTAAGTTTTCAGGGGGTGGTGTTGAATTTTGAAAATGATTAAAATTGGCTCTGAATTCTGCAAACTGGTCATCTTCATCTGTTGGTGGAGGGGGTGGGGGCTCAGATGGGGGACCATTAGATGGTAGAGATGGTGGGGGCCCTGAGGGGGGACCTTTTGTAGGAAGAGGGGGTGGGGGTTCTGAGGGGGGTTCATCAGATGGTAAACGAGGTGGGGACTCAGAAGGGGGTCCACCTATAAATGAGTCAGAAGGGGGGTCCATGGAAGATGTAAATTGTTCATGAGTGTTCTCAGGTGGTAGCTCTGGAGGGCTAAAAGAAGGAATTTGTGGAGAATCTGCCCGATTTTCAGAATTATTGTGCAATTGTGTTGGGTCGCTTTGTAGGTCTGTGGAAGCACTAGGTGTGTCGTCTTCATCATTGAACACTTGTCGGATAGGTACTGGGGGTGGGGGTCTACTAACTCTGGGTGGAGGTTTACCAGCAGTTTGTGGTGCCTGATTTAGAAACTGACTAGGAACACTTGATGTGTCAAATGGATCTTTTTGTGCTATGTCACTGCTACCAGGTGACAAAGGGACATCAAGTATGTTCTGACTAGAGCTATCAGGATTAGATTTTGGAGCTTTATTTACGACTGCATACATCTGATCCTCTGGCACAGTCCCTGGCGAGGGCATACAGCTCTGAGGTCGAGTTGGTGGAACGGGGGGAGGTCCCCTGGCGGGTTTAGGTTGATCCCCCGGATTGATGGCCATACTCTGCACCTCCCTCCTCGGAGCAGGAACAGGGTGGGGCTGTACACCAGGGGGGCTGTCTCTCGGTCGCTGGGGCCGCTGTGGGGGCTCTGACAGGGATGAAATGTTCTCTGTACTTTTGTGTCTAGGTACTGGTCTTGGTGCCTCTAGTAAAGGATTGTTAGCTGTGACAGACTCACTTGTCTGGCTTCTGACCATTTTATTATCTGAAAATAGGCAAAATCTTACAGTTAAACTTTATTATAAAGAACTCTTATACGGAAATTAAAATGTAAGGAATCTTTCATTTTCACCATATTCTTTATCTTAATACAGATAATGCAATCTCAGGTAAGAGATGCCTCACCTGTTTGTGGCAGCAGGGCTGGGGGTAAGGAGTTACTTCCCCCTTCCATCAGTTTCTCGATCAGAGACTGGGCGTCTTCTATAGAGGTAGCATGTCCGTGGTGAGTCACGTTCGTAGGTAGTCCAATATTCATTGGCTGCATTGGTGTGGTCTGTACATGGAAATACAGAGAAATTTATCAATTTCAAAAATAAAGAATGCAGCAAGTCATCAACTTACATGTAAGAGGTTGTATTTCAGTAGTAAATACATGTTCTTTACACAAAACTACTGACATTTTCAGAATTATATGAATAATTTTATATGCTTTTACAAACATGTAGGAGCCCGTGTGGCTCTACCATTGGTATTATGATTTTCTTGACCAACTCGATTCCATCTGGGATTGGAACCTTGTGAAATGATAATAAATCATGCAAATGTTCAATTCACATTGCATTATGAATATTATTTTCTAGTTGCTCAGGAGCGAACAAAATTTTGAAAGGTATAATACTTTTTAATATTGATACAAGAAGAAGGTACAGTTTGGGCTTTGTTGTGCCCTACAAATTTAATGTTCTTAAAAAGTTATGAAATTGGCTTTTACAAGAGTTGAGTAGATGAATATGATAAATCATTAAAGAATATATGGCATGAAGGAGGACCTTTTTGGAAATATGACGTCATTAATTTGGTACTTTCCAAGTTTAATGCAGAAAAGCCTCACAATGACTCATTTCTGTGTTTATTTTCCTTTAGAAAAAAGTGTCTGCCACTGTCGCCCACTTCAAGTTTTGGATACATTCTGTAAACTGCTTTGAAAATTCACATATCTCAAAATCTTTGTGGGCGACAGTGGCAGAGTATGTTTCCTGAAATTCTGTTTTCTCTTTCTGTAAATTCCACTTAAAATTGATATCTTCTGCAACTTTTTAAGAAAATACGAGAAAATGCACAAGTTAATCACGTCACAACTTATAGCATTAAGGAGTACATGTGAGAAAAACAATTTGTGTATTCTTACTTCATGGAATTCCTATGAATCAGAAAGAACGAATTTTAATTTCTTACATCACTTTCATATTTAAAAAAAATACAGGGCTTAATTTGAACTGAAACCATACCTTGTTCATGGGGACATATTTTGGAGAGAACTACATGTAACTGCTATTATAAATCATGAAATAAAATTGCCTATTCAATGTAGTTGTCCAGGACCCAAACTCAAGCAGACATGAATTTCACAATTTTGTTGGAAGGTTGTTCATTATAATTATGCTAACAATTTTGTGTATAGAACATTTTTGACAATGCATGTGGAAGAACATATTCAAAAGATTTTACTGAATTAATTTTATTAATATATGACTTATATTAAACCCTGCTATTTGGCTTTAACCCTCCACTCATTGGCTATGAATTTTACAATTTCGGTCAAAGATCACCTCAGTAACTCAAGCGACCTGTTAAAATTCAATCAACACCTCTTACCATTGTTGGTTGTTGTTTTGTCTTGATTTTCTTTATACTGTGTGAGCTGATAGGCTTTCTAACAACTGGAGGTGGCTTTTTGACATCTACATGGAACATATAAATACATGTAAATATGTGCAAGATAAATTTAATATTATCTTATCCTAATTTCTTATCAGTTATGGGGGAAAATATGCATGTAATTAAATTAAATATATGTGCACTATCACGCACATGTACATGCATACATGCCAACTTTCCCGATTTAGGCGGGATTCTCCCGATTTTATCCTTTCATCCCGCCTTCCCGATCGGGAGAGAAAAATTGCCCCAATTTCCCGATTTGAAAAAATTCCACATTTTCAGTTTCCCTACCGCCGAAATTTGTCAATCGGGATAAGAATATCAGAGTTGTTTATTCAATGCACACAAATAAGTCTCATTGTTTATTTAGCATGCAGAGTTAATTAGCCACAGGAAATCACTTCTCGCTTCAACGCACACGCTGCTGTCCAGGCACAGGTAGCTTATAGCCTGGAGCAGTTAGGGGGTTAATCTTTTCAGTTTGAAGGGGTATGCGAAGTGAACATAAAGATTAAGGGCTTAATTATTCGTCGTTGTATTAAAAAAAAAAATTAAAGTCAAAAAAATGATAATCAAACAATAAAATTGGAATCCAAGAAGATCGTTTTTTTGAAAACGAAAGTAGAAAATTTCAAAGCATATATAGCTGCTGATTTTAACTGCTAATAATAAAAATATTGTATAGTTTGTCAATTTAAAAAAATATTGAAAATAATTTAGATTAAATAATACTCTCATGTTAAGTACACTAAATCTTCCCCCCCCCCCCCCCCCCATTCTCCCATAGATCATACATATATTGTACATTGTATTTCTTTGTTACATATATGTCAAGGAAATACCAGAGACCCATATGGCATTGCTAAGACTGCAAAAGTTCATAATGTTCATGATGTAGTCTTTTACAATTTTAATTTTTCTTTGGGATGGGTGGGGGTGGGGCTTGTGTTAAAAAATTCATGATTTAATTAGGCCTATTTCTACAAATTGTTTTGTGTGTGCGATAAAAATAATCATGCACTGTCTATATACTTACTTATAGGAAATAAAGTGACACTTGATTTTAAGGGTACATACCAGAAACAAAATGTAAATTGATAGAACAGAGTGACAACTATTAAGCAAAGATATTTAAATTTGGAAAAATAAAACTTTAATTTTTATTGTTTTATTTGTGCTCTATTTATAAATGCTATCAATATTATAATTTAAAAAAAGTATTTCATAATCATTTATTTTCATGACAAAATGTCGCGAATTTAAAGCGTTGAAAATTGTCGTCACGTGCAAAATCCCCCATGGGAATTTTCAAAAGTTGGCATGTATGTACATGTATATTACAAATAACCAATTCCATATCATCATTACTTATTTTTAATAACCTCTAATACCAAGAATATGCACAAAAAGGTAAATGTTGGAATAACTTATCATGTATAATTGTTCTTAACAGTTAAGTAGCACTGTACCTGGTTCTGAGGATTTGGCAGCAGTTAGTGACTGTTTGACGGGTGGAGCTTTTGGTCTCTGTGGAGGCGGGGGTTTGGCGGGCGGTCCTGAGGGACGTTGTGGTGGCCCTGGTCTAGACCCAGGCTGTAACAGTATAAGTGCTGAATTATTCATTGCTACATTATATATTATAATACTTCTGTTAAAATGTTTCCTATATAAAGTTCAGAGGGTAAAATAACTATCCTGTACAGTCCATGCATAGCAAAGCTATACCCCGGGGTATAGTTTTTGCTATCCACCCTCGGAAAATTTTCATGCAATTGTTGCCGCCAACTTTGATTTCCAGCAATAAATCTTTAAACTGATGATGTCATAATGACTTCAGTTGCATTGTGACGTCATCAGGATTTCAGATTATTCTTGCAGAATTATCTTACTCCAAAAAATTCAAACCTCAGAAATTATATTATACATCAGTATAATAAAACGCTTATCCACTGGTTGTGAGTGGGATAGCTCTTTTATCAAACCCTTGACAGGAACTATTCCCCTCGGGAAATAGTTCTCTGTCGCGGGTTTGATAAAAGAGCTATCCCACTCACACCCAGTGGGTAAGTGTATATTATGCATCAAGAATTAGGAGCAACTGACAGGAAATCTGCTCCTTGCTACAGTGAATCTAGTAGGAAGTTAAATTGCCATTTCATGCTTTACAATCTGGAAATTTAGAAATCTCATTCCAATTAAAAAAAAAAATAAAGGTAATATTTGTTTCATGGTATCTTAAACAAATGATAATAGGTAGGATAATGAACTTTCTAATAAATGAAATAATTTGTCAACGATCTGTTTCTTTACTACCCTCATACCTCTGGTCCTGATTGTTTGGGTTGACCTGTATATGGTTCTGGTGACTCTCTGTTGGGTCCTGTGGCAGGGATTGGGGGTCTGTTTGCTTGTTGGGGCCTTGGAGGGGGGCCAGAGGGAGGATCTAAAAATCCATCATCAGAATATGGACTGTATCTACCTAAAATATTACAAGAATCTTTATAGAAATATCATGTGTCTGCAAAATTTAATTCAGAGATAACAATGTCCAATTTCCTTGTTATGTGTAACTATACGTTATAAATCTATGGCGATCTGACCTACCTGATCCTGTAGGAGAACTTGACCTCAGTTGTTCAAAAGGAGTGTCTAGTAAAGAATCCTGTATTTCTGCATCATCCTCTTCTTCTACAATAGAAAAACACTAACATTTATATAACCAACTGCTACATACAAATTAATACCCCGGTACACTTTATTCATAGTCGCATACTTATAACAAACCAAAAACCAGTGCCAAGTTGAAAATTAGTATTCAAAGAATTTAAATAATTCCATGTTGAAAATGAGAACTCACAAAATTGAAATAAATGTCATGTTGAAAATGAGGATTTCACAAAAGTGAAACTAAAGCCATGATTGAAATGACTTTCAACCTATCTTTGTCTATTTCTTTACAAAAAATTTAATTTTAATTTGTATAAGATTTTGTATAAAGGATCAACAATGCCACTGACCTGACTCAAACTCGAGGGCTGGTGTACTAAAGTCCTCTCCCAGCAGGCTGTTAGAGAACTGGTTGTAGAGTGGGGTGGTGTTTACTATACAGATCTTCAGCTCCTCTTGTATCTGCGACTGCCAGTTCTGTGTCTTTAAGCGAGTTCTTACTGTAGTTCCATTTATCTGTTAAATATAGGATTGTTTTTCATGTCTATGTAGTTTTTTAAAATGTCTTTGTCTAAGGCTTTCACACAAGTAAAATCTAAGTACAGTAAAACTCGTTTAGAACAAACATGGATATTGTGAACTCCTGAACATAGCCAAGTTATCTTGGATTCCCAGCTATATAAATTCAATGAATTCCTGATCCAAGTGACTTCATTTTAACTGAGTTTTACTGTATTTTTTCCTTACAAAACTTATATGATTTAAATTATTAAAAAAAATTCCAACAATAAATAATTCAAAATCCAGCTGCCAGAGAAGTACACTGAAAATGACCATTCTCTTCAATTCTTTTACCTAAATCTTGACTAGAATTCTCATTACCTCTGTGCCATCATAGTCCAATGCCTTCAATGCAAACTGCCCTGTCTTGAAGATTAACCACAAATCAGCCTCCACAAATCTGTAAATCAACAATTACCTCGGTATAAAAAATCCACAATATGTGTACATGGAGAGGTACTTAATTGGTTTATTTCCCTATACCTTAAAATAAACAGCTACAAAATGTATTTAGTAATCATGTATATTAAACCCTATGTAAGCAATGCATCTACCTGACAAGGACTATTTCTCCTACATCAGAGAAGAAGTGAACGATGGCCTCCACTAAGTCTTGTTCCATTTCCTCCGTTTCCACAGAAACAATGACAGTGCCATCTGGTGGACCCTGCTGACTGACTATTTCCTGTAACTTCTGCTCCTTTTTGTTTTCCACCACTTTCAACGTGTCAATATCATACAGTGCCAGCACTGGTCTACAGTAACACATAATGTCATTTGTAATTTGAAACACTCTTTTGTGAATCAATTTATAACACTCCCTGCAGATACACTCAGAATCCCTTCTACAGAAAATTTGGATTTTTGGGGGTAAAATCCGTGTTCATGAGATATTTACACTTACCTGCCTCCTTAACTATTTGCAATTTCCCTCTAGTTCCCCATACAATGCGTCGATATATTTTTTTAGAGTAACTACGGTATCACCTCCAGTTATCCCCCTTAACTATAACTCTTCAGTTTCTCTCGACGAACTTAAAAGGTTCTGACCTTTCAACTTCCTCGAGAGGGGAGGAGGGCCGGGTGAGGCAGGTAAGTGTAAATATCTCATGAACACGGATTTTACCCCCAAAAATCCAAGTTCATTTCAATATTTCCACTTACCTGCCTCCTTAACTATTTGCAAAAGAATTTGCAGCCCAGTTTGGAGGTGGGAGAGGAAAAGTAAGTGACAAAAGTACATAAAAGGTACATAATTACCTATTTTTGCTTCCCTCTCCTTGATGAATCCAAAATTGCTGCCTTGGCAAAAATGGACTGATGATCTGGAACATCTTTCAGATAAAATGATGTAAAGGTAGATTCAGATGCCCAGTGTGCTGCCCGTAAAATCTCTTCTGCAGATACACCACAGAACAAAGCCCAGGAAGTTGACAAACGTCTAGTGTCATGTGCTCTAACTAGATTCAATGTTGCTGCTTCTGCATTATCATAAGCAAAACGAACCATGCTAACTATCCATCTTGCAATAGTGTCTTTTGATGCTTCCTTGTGGTTATTCTGTTGATATGTCACCAATAACCTATTCGACTTCCGAATAGTTTTCGTTCTATTGATATAAATCTTCAATGCACGACAAGGACACAATTTTAAATCCTCTGAATCTGTGGCGAATGAATCAAATGCAGGAATATAAATAGGGTCCCATGGTCTATTTATGGTTTGAGTCTTTGCCAGGAATTCCATATTTGGTAACATTTTTATTCCTTTCCTCTCTATTCTAAAGTGACCATCATCTAAAGTGAGGCTATGAATCTCACTCACTCTTGAAGCTGAAGCTATGGCTACCAGAAAAACAGTTTTAAGAGTCAAAAACTTTAGATCTGCTGACTCTAGTGGTTCAAATGGATGTTTTGTCAGAGTTAACAAAACCAGTGGTAAATTCCAGTTCGGTGTCAACTGACGTACAGATGGGTGTTTATTAAATAAACCTTTCAACAATGAAGAAAGTTCTGTACTTGTACCAATACTGCTCCCATTCTGATGAACTATTGCTATTGCTGACTTGTATCCAGCTATAGTCTGTGGTTTACACTTTCTCACATTGAAGAGATACATAAAAAAGTGTGCTAACTCTGGTATAGATGATGTAATGGGATTAACACCCTGTTCTTTACACCAACTGTTATATATTCTGAGTCTTGCATCATAAACTGTTTGTGTAGATGTCTTTCTGGCATTTGCCATAATTTCTGCAATTTCTTCAGAAAATCCTCTTGACTTGTGTTGCAATTTGACAGTTTCCATGCTACAAGATTGAGAGTTTCTAGATTTTGATGGAAAATCTGATTGCGATTTTGAGAGAGAAGATCTGGCCACAGTGGTAATTTGACTGGCACATCGATCAGAAGATCTATTATCTGAGGATACCACGACTGTCTGGGCCACATTGGAGCAATGAGAAGTACAACACTTTGCTCTTCCCGTATCTTCTGTAAAACTTTGGGCACAAGAATAGGTGGTGGGAATGCATAAGCATAAATCCCTTCCCAGTTCATTGCTAAGGCATCTACTTGAAAAGCATTGATGTCCGGAAACGGGGAGCAATAGACTGGCAACTTCTTGTTTTGTGCAGTTGCAAACAAATCTATACATGGAGTTCCTAATTGTTGGAACAATAAATTTACAACAGTTTTGTTGAGTGACCATTCTGTCATTCGAACTTTTTTCCCCCGGGAAAGTGCATCTGCAAGAAAATTCTTCTTTCCTGGAATGTGAACAGCTCGTATTGTAATTTTGTTCTCCATGCACCACTGGAACAACTCCCAAGTTAGATAACACAGTTCTGGTGAGTGTGTCCCCCCTTGTTTGTTGATATAGCTTATCACTGTTGTGTTGTCTGACCGTATAAGGATCACTTTTCCCTTTATCAAAAACAGAGCTTCTTGAAGAGCCAACTGTACTGCCTTTAGCTCCAGCCAATTTATATGCTTCTGTTGATATTGCTGCGGCCAGACCCCTGACGTCTCCCAGTTCTCCAGGTGTGCTCCCCAACCCTGTTCTGAGGCATCTGTAATCAATGTCAGTTGAATTGGCGGATCCTGTAAAGGCATTCCTTTGAAAAAGTTTTCCCGATTCATCCACCACTGAAGGTGCTGAATTAGGATTGGCCGGATCACTATCACATGAGTAAGAGGGTGAATCTTTGGTCTCCACATTGCCAACAGGTATAACTGTATGGGACGCATGTGTAACCTTCCCATCGGAACCAGATAAATGCATGAAGCCATCAGTCCTAACAATTTGAGTATAACTACTGCTTGAGTGTGTTGACTTATTGATAAAGTCTGCACTATGTCTGAAATACTCTGAAATCTGGCCTCTGTTGGTAACGCAATGCCCTCTACCAGATTGAAATGTGCTCCCAGGTACTCTATATGTTGGGATGGCACTAGGGACGACTTCTCCCAATTCACTAATAATCCCAGCTCCTGAACTAGATGTAATACATAGTCTCTCTGTTGAAGAAGAGTTCTCTTGTCTGGATTGATCATCAACCAATCGTCTAGATACATGAATATTTGGATTACCATTTTTCTTAAGTGTGCCGCTAGAACTGCCATTATCTTTGTGAAGACCCTTGGAGCAGAACGAAGTCCAAATGGCATTGCTCGAAACTGGTAACTCTGGCCTAGAAATCTGAATCTTAGAAATTTCTGGAAATCTGTGTGAATTGGAATGTGGAAATAGGCATCGGTCAGATCCAGTGAGATTGCAAAGTCCCCTTTTTTTATTGCTTTCATTATAGGACACAATGTTTCCATTTTGAAATGTCGAGGCACTATTAACTGATTTAGAGGTTTTAGATTTAGAATTGTCCGAAGCCCTCCTTGTTTCTTTGGCACCACAAAAATGGTGCTGTAAAACCCTTCGATTTCTTGTCCTGCAGGCACAGGTTCTATAACATTTTTTCCTGACAACGTTTATTTCTGCTAAAATAACTGATTCGTGAATACCATATCTTGGTACACATGTTTCCTTGATATTTACATCGGGTTGAATCATTAATTCCAATTTTAACCCTTCCCTTAGGGTTTCTATTACCCACTGATCCTGCGTGATTACTGTCCACTTCCTGTGGAATTCTAGCAAACGTGCCCCTACCTGGGGAAACATATTTACAGACTGGCTGTTTACGAGATTTACTTCCTTGGAGTTGGAAACCCTTTCTGGTTCCCAAAGGTTCTCCTGGAAAAAGAGTTTTTCCTGTTTCCTTGTCCTGAACGAAAACTGTCCTTGCTGTGATCAGAACTTAAGGCATTAGTCTCACTAGCTTTAGTGACTTTTGCAGAATGAGCAGAGGTCTCATTTACATCTGCTTTTCTCTTCCTGCTCAACTCGGTAGAGTTCCTATTTTCTCTACTCTTGTAGTTCTTATTATAACCCTTTGATGTATTGTAAACATTTTGGGTTTCTCTAGCATCTCGTAAATTCTCTGCAGATGTATGGAGAGAATCAAAGTACTGTCCATTAAACAACTGGTTGCCAAAAATAGGTAGTTTTAGCAATTTCTTCTCCGTTGCCTTGCTTATAAAATCTACATTTTTAAGAAAAACTTTTCTTCTACTCAAGACTGAATTTGCCATCACTCTTGCTGTCAAATCAGCCATGCTTCTGAAGCAGTTGATGAGGGCTTTACGTCCTTCCACTCGATCATCCTCACATTCAGCCTCATCTAAGAAAGCTGCTATCATAGTGCCATATGAAATGGCTCTGAATAAGGCTCTTGCTGAATTGTCAATTCGCCGAAAGTCATTATCTAACTCCTTATGAAAAGGCGAAAGATTCACTTTAGATTTTCCAAAACTACCCTTCTGGCCTACCACTAATCCCTCCTCAATGTTGTCATCCAACTTTGGAGGATTACAAAAGGCGTCAAAGTCATCCTTTTTAACCATAAATGCTTTATCATCTCTGCCACGTACTGACCTATTTTTCAAATGCCCCGACGTAGCTTCTTTCTCAACCGTCTTAATCATATCAATGAGTGTTCCTTCAATAGGCATTTTAAGGAGAGACTTTTTCTTGTCACTCTTGTCTCCCTTCAATCGCGAAGAAATAAATGATTTTCTTTCATTTTCTAATGGATCCTCAGCTTCAAGATCAATATTGAGTACTTTTGCCATCTTTGAAACAAAACCGTTCCACTGTAGCGGATCAGAAGAATCTGGTGCACCAAAAGGCACCTCTACGGCCGCATCTGAATTGGTACACAAACCACCAAATGATGCATTAGAATCTATATCCTCAAAATCATTATCTCGTGCATTAACAGACAACACATCTGCAACACTGGACTCAAAGGCTGACATTTGTTCATCATAAGCCTTAAACTTGTCAAAATGAGGTCTGCTTATGGTTGCCGTTTTGGAATTTGTGGTCTCATTTCCTCTGGTCAACCTTGCCTCGTTTGTTGCAAATGCCGGTATGTTATGTTGATCATTAAAATTTTCATCAACATTCTTTTGTTTAAGTAACAATTCGACCTGCTGTCTTACTTGTTCTTGAATAATTGCGGATAAATCCACGACATCGGGTCTGTTACGTTCGGCATTCAGTAAGGCATTGTCGTTTGACTCCTGGACTGCCGCCTCCACAGACGGACTTACGTCCTGCACTGCCATGCCGTCTCCACAGACGGACTGAGGCACCTTACTGTTCATTTTAATTGTTTTCTGTACACTTTTCTCGATCATCTTCGTTATTTTATCCCGCCGTTCCTTTGACCAGGTTATACAAGTGTCACATGGAAAGGCCTCGTTACAGAGACGATGTTTGTAACAAAAAACGTGATCATCTAGAATGTTCATCTTACCCGAACATTTAGAACAGTCTTTAAACTCTTTCTCCATAATTACAACGGGATAAACGCTTCCAAAAACGCCAACATAAACTTTATTTTGCACTGTATGAGGAAAACCGCATGTCCAATATGGCGTCGAGAGAAAACTGAAGAGTTATAGTTAAGGGGGATAACTGGAGGTGATACCGTAGTTACTCTAAAAAAATATATCGACGCATTGTATGGGGAACTAGAGGGAAATTGCAAATAGTTAAGGAGGCAGGTAAGTGGAAATATTGAAATGAACTACATGTACACCCCATTAAATAATTATCTATATGTACATTTTCAGGAAAAAGTTCTTTAAAATAAGGATCTATTGAAAGTTAGTACATGTATTGAAAGTTAGTACATCAGAAAGGTCTATGGGTATTCATGTAATAATCCTATTTTAACTTTTTTTATTGATCCATTTAAAATTTTTATGAAATGTCAAACTTTTATTTTCTACTTCTATCTTATGAACTTTTTTCTGATTACTGAGTCATAAGATTGATCAATCATAATGACCTTCGATCTACACAATGCAAATAAATACTTTAAGTTGTAACCCTCCATTGCTGACTATCAAACTATACTTGCCTGTGATCTGATGTCTTTAGTTCCACTCTGTTGTATAAAATCATTTTCCCAGGATTCCAAGCTGGTCCATCCTGTAACACTGAAAACACAAATCACCCATTATGCAGTTTTTCTCACATTTCCAACTATTATTGATGCCCTGACATACCCAACAAACTAGATGGTGATTCCTTAATAATAGTTACTTACACTTTGGCTGATGGTGAATGAGGGGCCTCCTCCTCATCAGGACTCGATCCGTCCAGGCCGGACAGCGACATTTCTCACTTGAGTCGTAGTCATTACAGAACAGGTCATACTTGTAGGTCGGGGCAAAGTCTGTAGGGCCCTCACTAAAGCCCTTGAAAACCTGGTTAAAAATCAAGAGAGAAAATAACATTCATGCAGTGAATAATATCTAAACTGACACCTTGACAATCCCTTTTACTTTAACTTCAGACCTTCAATTTCATTTCCATTTTACTATTTTTCAGGTTTTAACACAATGTGTAATCTGATACCTTGTCTATTCTAATACAAAATTTGTCCCCCAATACATGTCAGATGAGACAGGTTTTACTGTATATTGATAATTGTCAAAAGACTGACTGATATATAGCTGCAGATCTGTAGCGTTATGGTTTTATATATATTTGTCTTTCACCATAACGCTACAGATCCCGTAGTGCAAAAAAGGTGCAATTTACGGCGCAATATTTTTTGCACTCTTTAGGAGAGAATTTCTCCACTTTCTAGCATTGGTCAATCAACTACCTTTCACTCCTTAATTCTAGACACACTCTGTATCCAAAATGTATAGTTTATCCACCTCCCAACCATTTATAGTTGTCTCTACAGGCAATAAACTCGCTTGAAGTGAATTTTCAGTAATCTAACAAATAATTTTAATCAAGCGAGTTTATCACTTGTAGAGACGACTATAAAGGGTTGGGAGATGGATAAAATATACAGATTAGTTCAATAATGTGTCTAGAATTAGGGAGTGAAAGGTAGTTGATTGACCAATGCTAGAAAGTGGAGAAATTCTTCCCAAAAGAGCGCAAAAAATATTGCGACGTAAATTGCACCTTTTTTGCACTACGGGATCTGTTGCGTTATGGTCAAAGACAAAAATATAAAACCATAACGCTACAGATCTGCAGCTAACTGATATAGAACTACAATTTAGATACTTTTATTTTTCCTGCAGCTTTACTTCAGAATCTGCTTTCCATGTATAAAGAAAACACAGAAAATTTACTTCTAAATGAAAATGCTAAAACAAATAAGGACAAAAATTCTAAAGCCAAAGAGAAACCAAACTAACCAATCCTTAAGCTTAAAACTTTACACAGAACAAAAATGGCATCAAAGTACTTGAATGTATGTTCAAGTAACACCTTAGAATAACTTTAAATGCAGCAGAACCCCAGATATACATAATAACTTCCCAGACTCACATTGCCAGCCTCTTTCTGGACTTTGAGTTGGTCACATGCCTTGAGAGCGCCCCAGTTCTTGTCCTCGATCAGACTCAAGATCTCCTCACGGGGGAGGTCGATACGGTAATTAAAGTCCCCACACCAGAAGACATAGTCATGGGATCCTATAGTCCTCCCCTACAGAAATCAACACAGAGGATTCATTAAGAATCTGGAATAAAGGAATAAATTGGTGAAAATATTGATTACAGATGAAAATAAATTGTATTACTCTGTGATGAAACATTGTTATTTTCCTTTCTTTATTGTTCTTACTATATGTTTTCAAAATCTAAATATGGTATATTGTACATTTTATGTATATTAAATATTTAGTACACAAGAAAAAAATAATTACAAGTGCTGTATAAAATTTATTGTTGTTATAAAAATACATGCTCTTTGCATTGGATGGCAGGTTTCGCCAAAATTACAAGTTTTTTTTATAGTAATTCTACCTCCAAGGAAAAAAAAAATTTTTAGTATACATGTATTTCTGTGTTTTACATTCCATCTAGTAAAACAATATACATGTACCAAACATCACAGAAGAAATAAATTAATTTTTGAAGATTTTTTCATGCTTTTTTTTTGTTCACAAAGAAAAAAAAACATAAGAATGTATAGATAAATTAATGAAGACTTCATGCTGACTACCAATTTCAAATTTAGATTTCATTGAAATGTAAAAACATCATGGACATGTATGCTCTTCAAAGCACTTGCAGTAAAATAAATTTCAGTGTAAAACCCTATCCTGAAAATAAATTAACTTTATTTTTGGCTTACTAGTAGGTTTCATTTTGTCACTTCTTTATCAGAAATATTACAGCGTATTAATAAATCTTTAACATGTTTAAAGACTTCTCTTTGCATAGAGTATAGATATTTTATTATATGTATATATCTTGAAATTTAGAGTGTGCTCTTAACTGTATATTTGAAGTTGTAGCTCTGAAAAGCTCATATAGAAGTCAGCAATTTATAAATTATCAACTAAAGAATAAAAGAAAGTTCTAGTTATTTCTGATAAACAGGAAAGTATTTACATGTAAATCGTTTCACTTTCAACATTTAAAATTTTTAAGAAAAAAAAAACTATAAAAATTCTTTTGTTATAATTTTTTGTAATATGACAATAGCAGTACTTATAAGTAAAATATCCTTAAAATCAGCATAATCAACTTTAAAAGCAAAGATTTTGATGAAAGTGAAATGACTTGTAGTTACAGGATTTTAAATGAATACATGTTTGCAATATTTCAGCAACCTTCCTAAGGGTTGGTGTAATCTAAAAAAAGCAAAAATTCTGCATTATTTTTTTTTTTACACATTAAACAAATACCTTCTTTCTTTCTTTCTTTTTCTTTTTTTTTTAACATATAAGCAGTGTATTTCTTTTCATTTAGATTGACATATACAGTGTTTCCAAAAATGTGACAGCACACTGCATGCATTGAAGAAATTAAAAGGAAAGAATTCATGAGTACCTAAAAAGGAGAAATCTCTCACAACATGCTTCCTTTCAAAGATCATCGCTTTGCACATATCTGTATTAAATTAATATGGTATGTGCTCACAAGAAACAAATAATTGTCTTTGACCTTTTGACCCTGGAATAAATATGTATCTATAGGCTTCTTTCCATGTCAACCTTGCAGCTTCATACCCAAATAGATTAAAAGTTACAAAATGACCTTTGTTCCAAATACTTTATACATGTACCTTAACCTGTTTTACAAAAAGGTTAAACATTGACCATTGTTACCAACTGAAACAAATTATACTTTGACCCTTGTCACCAAATAGGTGAAACATATTATATTAGTATTATCTACTACATGGTATACCTTTGAAACACTAAATTACAAGAATCTTCAATTGGACAAGAAATAGTCCCAGATATGTAACACCCTGATAACATTTAACAATAAATTCATGTAATACAAATAAGAATGAAAAAAAAAAATTACAGTTCTAATACACTATAACATAATGTTGAACATAAAAACAAACACATTGTAATTCAGTCCTTGAAAACAACCCTTTCAAACAGTCCTCAATTTTTTTTTTTGTAGATACAATATGTTGTAACCATTTTTAACACAATAAGACTTTTTGAAATTTTCTCATTATACTTCTATGCAATATGTACATACATTTGTATTTTCAACATGAAAACAAAATTAGAGAAAAACTTTTTGGGGGCTTCCCTTCACTAAAATATACTGTGTTTTGCACCTGAATTTTTATCCCTTGGCATTTGATGCACCCATTCACATAATATAAATGCAAAATAATTGGAAAAATGTTAGTAATTTCCTATCTAAAATTATTATTCTGATTACAAGCATGCATACTGAGAATAATATAATAGGAACATCCAGGTTTTCTTTATAAGTCTGAATGAAGGCCTTTCACAAAAACAACCAATGGATAATATTCAACTAAACCCATACACTCATCTCAATGACAAACAACATTGAAACGTACAACATACGATATAAATATACATGCTGAATATGTAAACAGCCTACCATACACTGTTCCTGTGTATCAACAGAATTTTTGTTTAACATGTATATTTCAATTGAAATGTTTAAAAATATTAGAGTAATGGCAATGATAAAAGAGACAGATTTTTTCTTTTTTTATATCATCTGTCTTGTATGAAAGATAAAGCAATAAATATGCAGTCAAGCCTGGTCATCTCGAACTCAATGGGAGCTGGAAAAACTGCAAGATATTAGATGATTACAGATATCCAGGGTAAAATACTAAAAGATAAAGTGGTTGGGACTTTCAAAACACTTCGACATATCCATGGTAAAAGATATCAGTGTTCGAGATACCAAAGTTCAACTGTACCTATATTTTGCTTTGATGATAATTAAGAATTAATATAAATTGATAAACGAAAGTGCATAAAGATGATAAGAATTAACATATATACCCATCTACATTAAAAAAAAGCTCTCACCATTGGGAAGCAGATTTTGCGTGAAATGTCGTGGTAGTCGCTGTTGCGATCGTTGACCTGTGACTGTCCTGCCGACAGATGAGCACAAACAAAACACATTGACGTGCTCTGATACAGAAATCGTATAGCCACGCCCCCTTTGTTACCAGCCGCACCCCCTAGTCCCGTCTTGGCAGAGTCTGTCGCAACATCCCTGTATTCAAGAAAGTATAGAATTCATTTATCTCAGGTAGTGCACATTCATGATTTATCACACTCAACAGCAAGTTGAAGCAGACAGGCACACGTAAATCACTTCTATTCGCAAGAACTTACGGTATTTTCCTGTGATTATGGGAGAAAGTCTGCTAAGAAAACATTTTTCTCCCATATACATGTATTTTCAGTTTTAAATATACATGTTACATACAACAGTAACCAGAACTTTCTCTTTTGCTTAAAAATACCAAATAACTCCAGGGGAAATAAGGTGTCGTGAAAATTTAGTGATCTACAGTATATGTCACTTAAGTTACATACTGATGTAGCTGTATTAAGAGTACCCTACCTAATGAATGGTGCCAGATGAGGCCGTATAAACACATACAGAATGACCCCCACTAACTGGACGCTGGTCAGTATCACATACTTGTGGTCACGGGAGAGAATCTTCAATAACTCCTTCTGCCATTCCCTGGCATTCGTTGTACTGTTTAGAAAGGTGATAATGGAAAAGTATTACTATTTCTGACATCATACATAACATATAGGTACTCAAACATACAGATACCATATTTTCCTGTTACTCATAATAACCAATTGTGACAACTTATGAAGGAAGAAAGCTTACCTGGCTTTCATGATGTTACTGGCATTAAGATCAACAATCTCTTCAAAACCAATGGCAAAAATATCCATAGGTCTATCCAAATCTGCTGATTTGTCAACCATTTCTGCAAATCAACAAAACAAATAATAACAGTGTGTAAAAACATTTTCAGGACACCATCAATTCAGAATATAAGATATGTTAACTTGATTTCCCTTGAAATATTCCATTCATATAGAGTCAAACATCATATCAAACTCTATGAGACAGAGGAAAAAAAAAACTTCTAGATTGCTCATGATTCGAATTATCAAAGGAAAACCACTTTAAGAGGTTGGGACTTTCAAATTACCAGTACTTTTTCCTACCCTTGGTACTCAAGATATTGGTGTTACAACTCAAAAAAAAACAAAAAGCAACTGTACTTCTTATACAAACCCTATGTATTTTCCCTTTTTACACTGTACCTGGATTCTTTTCTTTAGTAATGGAGGCAGCATCTAACAGCCAGTCTGATATAGATTCATGTTTGTGTGCGATACTCCGGAAGTGTTTCCCTCCGTTTACGTTCCAGGTCCCAATAAAGATCCTCAGATTCTCTACCTCTGTGTACTCAGAATGATTCTGGACCATTGCCTCAAGAATAGCTGGTGGGGCTGAAAGATTTTAAAAAAAGTTTTAAAAATTAACTATTGTAAAATGGAAATGTGAGCATAAGGAATATTGTATTATTTAGGGACATAGTACTAAACAACAAAGCAACAGATTTTGTAAATTCTTTAACTTGAACAAACATAACCCTACCACAAAGATTTTTTTTAAAAAACATGGAAATCCTAAAATTTTATCCCTCAAAAATATGCATGCTTAGAGTATTCAGTATTCAACCTTTGTACTCAGATTAACAAATTCTTTCTAATTTGTAATAATAGTAAATTAAATGTATATTTTAGTAATACCAATACATGAAAAAAAATCCAGATTATAAAACATTTCCGCTTTCAAAAACCTGTGGCAGATTACTACAATAACCATCTAAAAAGTTACAAACCATGTAAAATTCTTGTAGTCAGCAGTGCACGAGCCTTGTCTGCTAACTCCCCTCTTAAGGTATTGCCTAGCAACAGGATATCTATAGCTTCCTGTTTACTGTTGTCAAGGAAGTTGTTCTGAATGGTACGTGAGGCTGAGCGAGTAGCATCAGAATACTGAAAGAGTTGAAAGTTTTTTTCATATATTTTTCTGTGACTAGTGCTGGCAGTTACAAGCACAGTGTACAAATACCTCAAATAATTGTCAAAATTAGCTGATATATTAGCACAAGTATCAATAAAGGTTTTTTTTTTTCTGCTTACATGCAAAATCGTATGATACAAATTTACAGAAGAAATTCAAGCATTTTCTGTGTTTTAACCTTTGATCTGCCCCCTCCTAGAGCTCCAGTTCCAGCATATATTCTGCTGACATGGTCCCCATTAGCCCTCCATATCTGACGGTAGATGTCTACAAATCTGGAAACCATTTGTTGTTTCTCGGCCAGTCCTAAGCTCTCTAGCTGACGAGGTAACATCTGGGAAAGCAAGTATATTGTACATATGATTATTGATATACATGTATATTTGGAAAATATATATGAATCATGATGTATAAGCATGAAGATTTAAGGCCATACCAATTTCTAATATAGTTCGTCGGATTCGCCGCTTCTATTTATTACAAATGCAAATTATAATATAAAAAAAAAAATGTCCTCGCGCGCTTCCAAAAAAATCCGACTGCAATTTTTTTCTCGACTTTTTGCAACAAACACACATGTATGACAGATGCGCGGGATTTATAGTGAGATTGAAGCAGTTTGTGAAGTTTTGCACCATGTCTGTAACTGTTCATAGGTACCAGGGGTGTGCAATTAGCATCCCCTGACGCCTGGGGCTAACATTTTTAGGGGTCGGGATAGTGGTTTTCTACAAGGAGGTAGCCCGTCGGGCTAGTAAAAAATATAACTATACACACGCAATACATGAAAAGCACAACCAGTATTTTAACTCGTTTTTGGCTATAAAATTCCCAACCAGTTTATATTTTCCAGACAACATACTCCTACTGTCAATAAATCTCCATAATCTTATCCGTTTGCAGAACTACCTGACTTATTTACTTCCAAAAGCGATCGTTTTTTCCTAATCCGAATTTCCTCTATTCCTCCGTTTATGGTAAATACATGCAGCTATATCTTTAAATTATTTACGATCACTCAATCAACTGAAAGATAAGTGTTTTGTGACTCACATAAAATATATTTCTTTTTTGAATGATTTAAGATGAAAACAAAATGAATTTAATTTCATTCTAAATGAGTTAGTGCAATGATCAGAGAAAAGGAAGATAATTTATCGAAGTTCCTTTTAATTTTATTTCATAAAAATTTAAACATGACTGAATTTGATATTGAGAATTTAAACTTTGACTTTAAAAAGAATGACCTCAGTACCCTGACTTTTATCAGCAATTAATTTCTTTCTAGTACTTGATTTTTTTAATTGCACAGCACTGTGTACTATAGTTAAAAACAATGGGTACAAAGTTGTTTCATACACAGCAATAGAAATGGAAGCAGAGGAGATGTTTGAAAACATTACATTTATGAAAGTAAAGTCTTTGAAATTTGACACATTTTTACTTATTAAAAAAAATCTCCAAAAAGTTAAGAATGATAAGTTCATGTGGTATGCAAATGATATCTATCTTAATTTTTTAGGTTCAAGCTCTTTGAAATCACACTTAATTAAAATATATAAAATATTAATTATATTCGCTCGCCTCATAATTTTGAAACCCAAAATAAAAAATAATATTTATAAAAAAATTTCGCTCGCTCGCCTCACTTTTTATTTTTGAAAATCCGAAGAACTATTTTACAAATTGGTATGGCCTAATAATGATTTTAAAAGATATAGTTGCATACTGGAAGGTACCAGCTGTCAAAGATACAGTGTAGCTCAGAATTTTGATTTATGAATTTATGAATTTGATTTATGAGTATTTTCGATTTACCTCCATCCCCAGCATGGACTGTACAGCATTAGTTCTGTCCAAACAGTCTAAACAATTACTTCTCATGGTACCAGACTGAAATCTAAAACAAAACAAAAATTGAGGTTCATTCTACTCTCATATTTTTTTTTACTGCAAGGTATTCTTTGCATCTAAATTACCTGGTACAAATATATTTAGATACATAATACGGAAAATCACTTTTATTGAAGCAAAACTTTATATATGAGTGAACATGGAATTGAGAAAAAGACTATGGAAATCCAGATCTTTTACAACTCTGATGCTAAACAGTTCAAAGTAAAGGAAAGTGTGTGTTATTTTTACCTAATAAATCTAACATTTTAAACTATGGGTTTGACATGCTCTTACCTATCCCCTTGATTATCTACACTGTAGAAGTAACCAAAGTCCACCAGTTGTTTAAGAACTTTGTGTTTTAGCTTATCCAGGTTCTTTGTGCTGCCTCGACATTCCGAGTGGTAGTCAAAGTTAATCAGTGGTATTCTCTGATGAAACGTGGAAGCTTTATGGTGTTTCTGAGAAATATAAGTCATACAATTATTATCAGTGGGAAAAAAACCCACCTACATGCATGTAACTATCAACTGATAAGGATTGTCCCCCCTCCTATTACGTTTGCTCTATCACACTTGCATATGATTTCCTTCCATTTTTCAAACTTTACCCAAACACAGCTGTATTAAAAGAGAGTTAAAACTTTCTCTGTTGAACTTTTCCCATTCCAAATTTGCCAGCTGACAATATAAGGCCAACAGGGCCAAATGTTAAATGGGGCAATCTTGTTTACAATATCAATAATCCTCTTGGGACAATGTACGGATTATAAAACATACATGCACACACACAAATTTCCTTAGAAAATCTCTCCAAAACCACAGTATTTGTTATAATGACTGCACTACACAACACACTTGGTCAAACATTTGACATCTAACATTTATTTTTACAACTGTACTATTTTTAATGGATTTTGTTTACCTGGTATGCCTGACTAAGCATGTGTTCTCCCTCCTTCTGCCCAAGTAGATTGATCAGTACTTGATCGCCGTACAAGTCCTTTATCATGTTAAGATGTCGGTCAAAGGCAGGGGCTGAAGCTTCATGTCCTCGGGACATACGCACTCGATGAGACCCAACCTGTCAAAATCAAACCAATTTTTAAGAAATTTATTGTTCAGTTCAGATTCATTTTAATACAGTCATGTTATAATTCTTCCAAATTCCAACAATAAATTAGAATAAATGAACAAAAAGCTAATATTCTACTTAAATTTCTCCTTATAGTAAAACATCATAATCTCAAACTTGAAAAAGAAGGTCATTCAAGATTTCAAGGGTATAATGATTAAGAATAAGTAGATGACACATCCAAATCACTTTGAAATATTCATGGTATTTGAGATCAGAAGTTAAGGTACATTTATTTTATTTGAAGCATAATAGTATTAAGTAAGAATAAAAAACAATCCATTGTTATTACTTGGATTCCTGGCTGTTCCCAAAACAGTGGAACCGAGCCTCTGGTCTGAATAAATGAGGATATTTTCTCATCAAGGAAAATCACCTAAAACACACAAAACGAAATGTCTCTAAGAAGTAAGAAATAAAATTACAGAATATAAATTTTCAACACTTTTTTTTACTTTACAAATTAAAACCTGTTCTGTCTCCACAAAGTTGGCCACATGACCATCGTCGTTTGTCCCTCGGACATTAAATCTGGTGCCAGCTCTCTCACAGCTTAGCCGCGATATCAGGCAGGCCTTCGCTTGTCGGTGAGCGGCGTATATCGTCCTGATCTCCACACCTCCGCAAATCATCTTAAACAACCATCTGTCACAGTCAATAGCAAACCTCTGGAAATGAACATGCAGCATTCTATTCCTGAAAATAAAAATAGAATTGCTGAGTTATCATGGTGACTGTTAAGTGATTATAAATCAAAAAATATTCCTACAATACCTCAGGCACATGTTTTTCTAAAAAAATATTACAAAATTAAATTTTTGGGGAAAAAAAAATCAATTGTTTAGGTTAATTCTCAAGAACATTTTTCATTACAAACCATTCTTATACCAAGATGCATTTTCAAAACAGAGTGGCAAATAAACATGTACTTAATTAGTAGAAGATCCACTGTCAATTTAAGAAAACTGAATATAAGAATTGTAGATGTCATAAACATTCCTTCATTTTCTGTAACAATAAATTATATAATAGGCATTAATACATAATAAAAACACATTCATATCTTTGTATTACAATTTCTAACCAGAAGAATCTATTATCTGTGTCATGTTCCTGAATTTTCCTCTGTGCACACAGAGTCAGGTCCCAGGTAGTCCCTCCTGCAGACCAAGCAAAGTAGAAAGTCCCCGAATTCAGGAGTTTCTTAACCTCGGAGATCCGCTCTTCATCACCTTGGCCATTCCTCAGAGACAGGAAGTGGGTCGACGTGATCCGAAATATTTCAGAATCGCATATTTTACCCACAGACAAACAACCAGTGACGAGTACTAGGAACAGTACATTATCTTCTCCTAAAAAATATAATAACAAATCATAATCATGGTAATGTTGAAAGAAATTGTAAAGAAATTGTTTGCAATTTACACCCTTTTTAAAATGAGGTTGGTCTATTCCCAGTAAACTGAAAATATAGTTTTTTAAAATTGTTTTGATTTTGTTTTGTTTAACATTTTTTATCAGAAATATGACGGAAGGTACATGTACTTGGCCTGCTTGAATTGGTCAATATTCAATGTTAGGATGAACAAAAATAATATCTAGGTATCTTACCAATTGCAAAATTCAGGACCCCAAGACATCCATAGGCATCAAGTATTTTTGTGTACTGCTTCTTAACCAGCTCAGCCTCACTTGAATCTAAAGTGCATAAAATTAATATACATGTATACATGTGAAATGTTTATTAAACAATGTTAAACCAGAAGTAAAAGTTTTTGTCTTAGATTAAACTTTTAATTTAATAAGGTGTGTTTCATGTAAAGTAATTGCTTTCCGGGTAAAAATTAATTCAATAATACGTGCAGCACAGGTATTTTTTATCTAGCAATCAGGAAGATACTATGTCATTATCATTTCACAGAGGTACACATCGATTCAGTTTATGCACCGACTGTAAATGATTTTTCAAATAAAAATGTAACACAATTCACGCTCTTCAAACGATGAAAGTAACATATTTTTAAGTTAAAATACCTTTAAAGTTTTAGTTATGACCATCAAAATTAATAATCAACATGACTTTGTCTCATCCTTTTGCTTATTTTCATAAATCGATTACTCCTGGACGAAGTCTTTTTGAATATAAAGGTCTAATGATAAAAATAACAAGATTTTATCTTACGCAAAACTGCTAAAGCATTGGACTCCAGAAGTAATGATTCTTCGTAATTTTTGTTCTCAATAATAACACTATACGGCGGTTCTAGTTTGTGAAATATCCGGAAATTTTTAATCATCGCCATTTTCAACTTTCAAGTTTCCTCCCCTATCCCGAATCTCGAGCCCGATTTTATTTCTCAAAGTTTTTAGCTCACCTGAGCCGAAGGGTAGGGTTGAACCACAGTGGACGATCAAAGTTTTACATTATAAGAAAAATCTTTGAAAATCTCCTTCCCAAGAACAGCAAAGCTATGATTGATTAGATCTTTATGGAAGCATCCTCATGTGGTGAAGATTCTGGTGAAGATTCAAGTTTATTCAAATAAAGACCCCCCCCCCCCCCCCGGGGGGGGGGGGGTAGAGTAGGGCCAAAATAAAAGTTCAAACTCGTAGGAAAAATTCAATTCGTCAAAAATACGTAAGCATGTCTAGTTAGTGTAAATTCAATTTTTTTCAATTTATACCCCCTTTCCCTTTTAAGGCTAGGTCAGGACCAATTAAAAACTATAATTTCCTAGTCAGTGCTCAAGTGAGCGATATGGCACCTGAACTTCTTGTTAAGTAAATATTCAATGCGCATTTGCGTGAGCAGATCATTAGACCTAGTAAATTGATTGCATTGTATATACACGTGGAAACATTTAAAAATCAATACCAAAAAAACTGAGTAAAAAACCCAAGTGTAAACCCCTGTTATAAAAAAATGAAGAAAGAAAAAAGAACTAAATAAATGACCAGATGGAAAAACAGGTATGGATCGAATGAGATCCAGTACTAATATAAAAAGTCGAGTCAGGTGGAATTGGTGGTGGCTTGACTTCTACAACGGTGATTTCAACTGAGCTAACAGAAAGATTTTAAGCCGTGAAAATGTATCATGACTCCCGAGCCTGATCACATACATCTAAGACCTTTAAAGAAAAAAAATGTCTATGAGATTTCCTTAATCCCCTTCTCTTTCAAAAAAAAAAAAAAAAATGCAGGAAAGTTTTACGGATTTGGTCGTGATCGTTTGGGCGTTATTTTGTTCACCCACCCCACCCCCTCGAACAATGATTTAAAGTATAAAGTTAATTAATGTTACTGTGGTATTTCTAATAACTTCAAGATGAATTTAATGTTCCATTGAATACATCATCCATATGCGACTATCCATCAATAGTGATTTTATCTACGAATTCATATAATTTTATCTGTGATTATTATTCCTCGCCTGGTTCGGCTTGAAAAGAGGGGGTATATCTATAGTAATGAGGGTGTCTGTCCTTCTGTCTGTTCGCCCTTAGTACTTATAATTGGGAGGACTCGTCTGGTCGTCTCTTCTCATGATTACGGAATCTTCAATCATTGTGTACAATCATACACCTCCAATTTTTCCGTTTCGATCGGACATGCAGTTTCTCTATCTCAAAACACTTCAACTCCCTTTTCTTTTTATATTTGGAATGCCCATTTTTTACTCCTCCTGTACTACAAATTAAAAAAAAATCCATACTTTCACAGAATCTTCATTACGCAGTGCAATTATATGACCCCCCCCTCTCTCTCTCTCCCGGACGGATATTTGGGGTTTCCCATGTTTAGCAAAACTGCATGGACTTTGCCTATTCTCTTTGCAGAATAGTGGGCAGGCTTTCGCCCACGTGGATGTAAGTGAAAGCCTCTCCACTTCTCTAAAGAGAATAAGACTTTGCCGCCATATCTTTTATTGATACTGGAGCGGGGGCATCATTTTGCGAGGTCATATATAGTATCTCTGTAGTAAATCTATGATTCTGTAGAACATATATAATGTATGTCATAAGTACAATGTAACTTATAACCTTGATGTTCAACACCTTAAAAAATGGTTAGAATGATAAAAATGTTCTTGTCGAAATCATTATGCTTTCTAACTACGAAACATTCTCATTATGGCCAAGGCTTTGTTAGAAATTAACGAGGCATCTTATTAACAAAGTAAGATTGTTATAAAATATGGTATATTGACATACTGTTAATAGTGTCATGTGTGCTGAAACAGATTGTAATATGACAAAATACTGTTACTAAATTAAAATAAGAGCTTTCACCTCGCTCTTCATTTATTTATTCATCGGCCTTTCACTAGCTTCATATAAAAAATGCACGTAGATAAGTCAATATACCTGCTTGAAGGAGGAGAAATGTACACTATATATTTTATGGGGTATCCGTTTGTCTGTAAGACCACACGTGTCCGTTATACATTTTAGGATACCGACCATCTCTTAGCCACCACCTCTCTCTCTCTCTCTCTCTCTCTCGTACCCTTTTTGAACATTTCAGCTTCTTCTCTTTTAAACTATTGCACCGATTTCAACTAAACTTGATATGTGGCATCAATGTCTGAAGTGGTATAAAATTTATGCTCCCTACCCTTCCGGGTGAGACTGAGGGGTGAAAGTAAAATACACTATAAAATTAGTGCTATATAAAAAAAATTCTACTCCTGTAGCTTTGAACTCTCTACTAAAACTGAAATTCATTACCCCCAAAAGATGCACAATGGCGCACTATGCATAGTAAAGACTCTGTGAATTAAAGTAAAATTGGAATTTATTCAATGGTAGAGGAGAGAGAGAGAGAAATTAAGAGAGAAGTATCTCAAACGTATAAGGAAGCCTATTTAGAACATAGCAAAACTCATAAGAATTTAATTTAACGCACCGACAAAGTTAAAACAAATTTTGCTCAATAAAACATCGAATTCGGTATAAAATATACATGTACATGTACATGTATATGTAATTGGTTATAAAAACTTGTTGAATTTGATATGTCCATTTTTTTTAAACAACAAAAGAGTATTTTTTGAAACGAATTCCAAACCAACAGTTACTTACAGAGAAGAAACACTCTGATAAGATAGACAACTCTTACTTACTGAGGAGAAACACTCTGATAAGAGAGACAACTCTTACTTGCAGAGGAGAAACACTCTGATAAGAGAGACAACTCTTACTTACTGAGGAGAAACACTCTGATAAGATAGATAACTCTTACTTGCAGAGGAGAAACACTCGGATAAGAGAGATAACCCTTACTTGCAGAGGAGAAACATTCTGATAAGAGAGAGAAAACTCTTACTTACAGAGGAAAAACATTCTGATAAGAGAGATAACTCTTACTTACAGAGGAGAAACACTCTAATAAGAGAGATAACTCTACTTGCAGAGGAGAAACATTCTGATAAGAGAGACAACTCTTACTTACAGAGGAGAAACACTCGGATAAGAGAGATAACTCTTACTTACAGAGGAAAAACATTCTGATAAGAGAGATAACTTACTTACAGAGGAGAAACATTCTGATAAGAGAGATAACTCTTACTTACAGAGGAGAAACACTCTGATAAGAGAGACAACTCTTACTTACAGAGGAGAAACACTCTGATAAGAGAGATAACTCTTACTTACAGAGGAGAAACATTCTGATAAGAGAGACAACTCTTACTTACAGAGGAGAAACATTCTGATAAGAGAGATAACTCTTACTTACAGAGGAGAAACACTCTGATAAGAGAGACAACTCTTACTTACAGAGGAGAAACACTCGGATAAGAGAGATAACTCCAACTTAGAGAGGAGAAACGCTCTGATAAGGGAGATAACTCTTACTTATAGAGGAGAAACAATCTGATAAGGGAGATAAGTCTTACTTACAGAGGAGAAACACACTGATAAGGAAGAAAACTCTTACTTACAGAGGAGAAACACACTGATAAGGGAGATAACTCTTACTTACAGAGGAGAAACATTCTGATAAGAGAGAAAACTCTTACTTACAGAGGAGAAACACTCTGATAAGAGAGATAACTCTTACTTACAGAGGAGAAACATTCTGATAAGAGAGAAAACTCTTACTTAAGAGGAGAAACACTCTGATAAGAGAGATAACTCCAACTTACAGAGGAGAAACACTCTGATAAGGGAGATAACTCTTACTTACAGAGGAGAAACAATCTGATAAGGGAGATAAGTCTTACTTACAGAGGAGAAACACACTGATAAGGAAGAAAACTCTTACTTACAGAGGAGAAACACACTGATAAGGGAGATAACTCTTACATACAGAGGAGAAACACTCGAATAAGGGAGATAACTCTTACTTACAGAGGAGAAACATTCTGATAAGGGAGATAACTCTTACTTACAGAGGAGAAACACATTGATAAGAGAGACAACTCTTACTTACAGAGGAGAAACACTCTGATAAGGGAGATAACTCTTACTTACAGAAGGAGAAACATTCTGATAAGGGAGATAACTCTTACTTACAGAAGGAGAAACATTCTGATAAGGGAGATAACTCTTACTTACACAGGAGAAACAATCTGATAAGGGAGGTAACTCTTACTTACAGAGGAGAAACAATCTGATAAGGGAGATAAGTCTTTTTACAGGAGAAACATTGATAAAAGAGACAACTCTTACTTACAGAAGGAGAAACTCTATGATAAGAGAGACAACTCTTACTTACAGAGGAGAAACTCTATGATAAGAGAGATAACTCTTACTTACAGAGGTGAAACATTCTGATAAAAGAGACAACTCTTACTAACAGAAGGAGAAACATTCTGATAAGAGAGATAATTCTTACTTACTGAGGAGAAACACTCTGATAAGAGAGACAACTTTCACAGAGGAGAAAATAATCTCTCTTATTTCGGTAGAAGACATTCTGACAAGAGAGAAAATCTTTGATCACATATGTGAATTAACCGAAAACAGCGATTGGACTGATTGGACTGATTGATCTTGACCTATCTACACGCTGATAAATCACAAAAGTGAAAAAAATCAAAGAAACCAATTATCTATGTAAAGCCACGATAGAAATATTTTTAGATAAATCATGTGACAAGTTATTTTACTCTTTAAAGAAATGTAAAAATCATTTTTTGAGAAAAAAATTATAATAAAATTCTAATGCAAGCATTATATTTACTATGCAGGTTTAAAACAACATTAAGGGAAAATAACAGTAAGGGCAAGCTAAGGGAGACCCGTTATACCAAGACATCCTCACTATGGTGAGTGTTCAGAAATCCATGACAACAATGACTTTATCGGTGATCGTGCTAGTCCATGCGAATGCTGATGTAACAGTCATGAATATGGAAAACAATTTTAAGGGAACAACTGACTCAACATACATATCAATCAAGCCAGAACCCCTTGACGGAAACACTGAATTTAACCAGGACCCGTACACAACCATGGAATGGACCAAGGTAAATTACACGCAAAACACCACACGTAGCACTAAAGTGTATAAAACAACAGAATATAAAACATCCACATGTTCCAGCTGGGCTGAAGACAACAATGGTAATTCAGCATACAAATTTACAGACCTTCATCTCTGAATTCGATTTATTTGCTTCATGAAGCCATGATGGGTGTTGGAGTTGTTGTCATGGTAACAAATTCCCTAGTAATGGTGGCTTCTGCAAGAACTCCGAAATAACATGAACTATAACCTCGTTATGGGCTTGTCCCTGAGCGACTTTCTGATGGGGTGCACCTCTATTGTATATTATTTATTTTTATTTTTGGCTGGAAGTCGGTTGCTCTTTCCAGAATTTGCTGGGGCTCTAGTTTGGTGCATCATGGTAAATTTATGCGCCACAACTAGTTTGCTGATCATGTCGCTTTTTCAGACTTTTTGTATTAGATTTCATGGGTTCCTTGTTCTCTCGGAAAATGCCTGGGCACAACTTCTCTTTGATGGCAATCGGAAATATTACATTTACGCCATAAGCTGGGCTACAGCAGGCACCCTCTTTTCATCGCTCATTTCCCCAAGCAGAGACCAATCCAAATGCCTTTTTTCAACCGTCTTTGGTGGAAATCAGAACATTGCACGTCTGATATTGTATTCTCTAAGCGCAAGTCTCATCTCATGGTACTGACCCTAATTTTCTATGTCCTTACTATCTATCAGGTGAGGAAACGATACGTGTATATGTCAAATGGCACCAGAAGTAGGAAGATGGAAGAAATAAAGCGAAAAAGGGTCATCAAGTCAATGACATTAGTGACCAAGATCCTCTTAGCCCTGTTTATGTTTACTGGGCCATTCAATACTCGTATTACTCTCAAGGAGTTACCATCATCAGCTTAGCAGCGGCTAATTTCAATTCCATTTTGAGCCCGATCATATATATTGTTCTCACATTAAGCAACTGAGGAATGAGCTGAAATTGATATTTCGTTGTAAGACAAAATAGGGATGATCCAAATCAAAGTTCATTGGTAGTTTTTAAAAAGTTTTTAGGCGGTTTAATTAAAACAAGAGGCCCATGGGCCTTATAGGTCACCTGAGCATTATGCAACAACTTTCCTGTGATTGAATTTGATTCATGTTTTAAGCCAGATGCTATGCTATTCACAATTTTGAAAGAGGCACCATTGATCATCATAACAATACACTTAGCAGTTGCTTAGTTTGTTTACTTAATACCCATACGCAGGGTAGGGGAACAAAAAATGCATTTCAAGTAATCAGTAATATTCAGCAATAATCAGTAGTGCCCCTACCACACATGAACCTCTAACCCTTAGGCCTTGATATTTGATTAATACCAAGGAGCAGATTTCAAACCATTCATTCATTTTCAGTATATAAGTACAGCCCCCCCCCTCTATGGTACCCCTGACCCTGGGGCCTTAAAATTCACAATTCTGGAAGAATAGGGCCCTTGTCCATCATAACTATATAGGTAGTTCATCTGCTTAATACCCTGGAGCAGAGAAGAAAATTTTCAAAGATTTAATGTATTTTCACTATATAATCAATAGAGCCCTGCCCTAACACCAGAACCCCTGACCCTGGGGCTATAAAATTTACAATTTTGGAAGAGGCATTCTTGCTCATCATAACTATGTACTTAGTTAGTTTATTTAATTCCTAGGAGCAGAGAAGAAGATTTTCAAAGAATTCATGTATTTTCACTATATAATCAATAGAGCCCCGCTGTACCACTAGAACCCCTGATCCTGGGGCCATAAAATTCACAATTTTGGTAAAGGCACTCTTGCTCATCATAACTATGCACTTAGTTAGTTTATTTAATACCCAAGAGCAGAGAAGAAGATTGTCAAAGAATTCATGTATTTTCACTATATAATCAATAGAGCCCGCCCTAACACCAGAACCCCTGACCCTGGGGCCATAAAATTCACAATTTTGGTAGAGGCACTCTTGCTCATCATAGCTATGCACTTATTTAGTTTATTTAATACCCAGGAGCAGAGAAGATATCGATTTTCAAAGAATTCATGTATTTTCACTATATAATCAATAGAGCCCCGCCCTAACACCAGAACCCCTGACCCTGGGGCCATAAAATACACACTTTTGGTAGAGGCACTCTTGCACATAATAACTATGCACTTAGTTAGTTTATTTAATATCCAGGAGCAGAGAAAAAGATTTTCAAAGAATTCATGTATTTTCACTATATAATCAATAGAGCCCCGCCTTAACACCAGAACCCCTGACCCTGGGGCCATAAAATTCAAAATTTTGGTAGAGGCACTCTTGCTCATCATAACTATGTTAGTAAATTGTTTATTTAATGACCAGGAGCAGAGAAGAAGATTTTCAAAGAAATAATGCATTTTCACTACCTACTTATTTAGCCCTGCCCTAGCACTAGAACCCCTGACCCCAGTGCCATGAATTTCACAATTTTAGTAGAGGACTCATTGCTGATTACAATCATGCAAACAGTTTGACTGCTTGATATCCAGGAGTAAAGAAGAAGATTTTTAAAGAATGCATTAATTTTAGTTGTTTTGGCCCCACCCCTCGGGCCCCAGGGGGGTAGGGATCATGAAATTCACAATTTTTGTTCCCCTTTACCCATAGATGCTTTGTGCCAAATTTGGTTGAAATTGGTTCAGTAGTTGCAGAGAAGAAGCTAAAAATGTTCAAATGTTAACGCACGACGACGGACGAAAACAGATAGCAATAGGTCACCTGAGTTTACACAGGTGACCTATTAAACTATGAAAATATAAGATGTTTATGTGAAACATAAGAGCCCCGTGTAAGGCAGCTCAAGACCAACGTTTTTCGATGTAAGTCGAGTTCAAAGTCGTGAGTTATAAAATGTTGGTACACAAAGAAAGGTATTTGCACCAGCCATCCAAAAAATATGGTAAAGGAAAAAGTTTTTCAATTAAAAATAGGCTGTACGTGAAGATCAAAATCATAAAGACACCAAAAGTACCAAGGGAAAGATCATCTCCAAAAAAATACATAAGTGAAATATGAAAGCCCTACCACCAAACGATCAAAAGTAAAAGGCAAGGCCATTTTGTTAAATGTAGATCAGCGCGCAAGGTCATGGGTAACAAGAAGCGTTGCTAAACAATGATGCCCGTATGGCAACTCATGGCGAAAGTTTAATAGTTTTTCAATTGCAAGTCAAATTCTGACATATGTTCAAGAGATCAAACAAAAATGTACCAGATCAAATCAAAAACTGGCTTTCTTACAAATCAGAACAATTTCTACAATGATTTAGTAATCATTTATTGATACAAAGTTTTTACTCTTGCTGTGTACAGAAATTTTAATCCTATATTTGTAAAATTTTCTTGCTGATCCCTGAACATTCTTAGTTTTTGGCGTGTTTTTTTTTTATACCAAGAAAATATATTTTTTTTTGGTAAGTGAAGTTTGTTGTTCAGATCTTTTTGTACTTGATATATTGTTTTTATTTTTTCTTCAGTTTGAATTACATTGTACACTGAAATGTGTATACTGATAGGCAACATCTGATCATTATTGTATATATGCATGTAGTATTGAACTTGTAATAAAATGTTTTTTATTTCATGTGCATAATTGTATCCAACTGATGCTTATACATCTAATATAATGTTACAAATATCATATTTATTCTACTGTAACTGAATTAATCACCGGGCTGCCTCATTTTTTCCTTAGAAAATACATCAATAAATGTTTTACCTCTGAAACCCCCCCCCCCAAATAATAATAAACTGACCAATGAAGTAAGCATCCCCCTTTAACAAGGACACTTCTAATTTGCTTTCAGTATACAGCACTGTAGGTGTACTTTTTCCATGGGGTCATAATTTCTGTTTAATCCATGGATTAAAAATTACACAGATTTGTTGGATTGCATCATCACACCTTACATGCAAGTAACCTGGGACAAATTTCTATGAAAATTTATAACCGTGCACATAGCATTTATAAATCAATACTACATGAAAACAAATTCTGCAGTATTTTATATGCTTGCAGATGTTCATAAAATAAATATTACAATATATTTAATACTAATTAAATGATCTGTGTACAATATTTTTATCTTTGTAATTTTTCAATGTTTTAAATGGTCTGGGAGTATTACCACAAAGATAAAATCTCGTTCTTATACTGGGCATGAGAATGAATACATAAATCAATGTACTATAAAAATATTAATGTCCTAAACATAATGCAATAACAACAATATCATCAACAAAGTTTGTTTCACATAAAAATGCCTCAATGATTTTTTGTTTAAATATAATCCCTGAAATGTTAATTATTCCATATTTCTAAAATCTAAGGCAAGCATGCTTACTATATATTCCCTAATCATAAATGGTGAATTCATCATCACATCATTTAGGTAAGAGCACCATTTGGAAAATAATGTTACTCCCATTTATTTTTATGGATCTGAAACACATTTAAAATTTTATGGATCATCCATCCACTCATGAATTATTGTTTTGGAGATTAGACATTTAAGGGCCATCTCATGATATCAAGTACTTGCTGAAAGTGAGAAATCTACAGTACACAGAACCATCATCACATAAAACTCTTCCAGCTAAACCCCACATTCAGTGCCTTTGGTTTGGCTTCTGTTTAAATCTCAACATAAGGTACCCTCCAATCCTGAAGATGAAGATAAAGGCAAACAATGGCAGAATGTATGTCCAGTATGGCTGACTGACCCCGTAAAAATGGAGCACCTCATTGGACGGGATAGAGGTCGCGTTACTGAACAGACAAGTACTGAACTGGGACTCTGATACTGACGTCTTGATGGCACAACTAGAAATGAAAGAATAAATTTACAGAGAAAACAGTCAAAAGCAATGTCATTGCTTTATTATAATAACCAAAGAGATTCTTTGTTATGCCATAAACAAGAATGATGTCTTGAAATTCCTATTTCTTCTTCTAAACTGAATTTGGGATCCACAAAGTAATCAAAATATCATTGAATAATAATAAATGTTGAAGATTAAAAAAAATTACTTTATATTTGGTCCATCATAAAATTCCAGATACATCATAGCACTAAATGTATACTGCAGGAAGGACAGGTACTTGATCCAATCCAACCAAAAAGGCAGGCTCCTGGTGTAAAAACCACCTTAACAAAATGTGAAAAAAACACCATAAATATTTAAATAATATGACATGTTCAAATATAAAATTTTCAGCAATCATTTGATAGAGGCTTTTTCTTCTCGGTTAAGGTATGAATGTGAAGTAATAATACCCAATAACATTGTTGCCATGATGAAGATGGTGGCCTGAGTCATCCCTTTCCTGATGTCCATGCTGACTATTCCCAGAAAGAGCCCCACACTCTGTATTAAAAACAAACATCAGCATTATCGTAACACTATGGTGGCGCAATAGCAAACTTAAGGTATGCAATCACTCTGTTCAGCCAAATAAAAATCTTCTTTAACACGTATACTGATAATTTTTAAAAGTATCTGATTTATTCTCAAAATGCTCACAAGTTCATCAGACTTTGTGTGACAAAAGACAGAAATGACCTTTCAAAGTGATAGCTTTTCAAGTGGAAAATTTTTCTTGAAATAAAAAACTAAACTGATAAATTTAATGGAGGCACATGTACATATACTCACCTGACCAGTCACAGCATGTATAAACAGTGTTCCCAGTGTGGCAAAGTATGACAAAACTCCATTAAGTCCAACAGACCAGTAAACAACAGTGATGAAGACCAAAGGCTGTATGACTATGAGCACCAGTTCGCTGGTCATTTTAGCCAGATAGTACGCTGAGAGTCGGTACCAACCAGCTTGTCTCTCCTTGTTTATCACAATTCTCTCAAAGGGAACTAAAAAAGAAAAGTAGCCTTATATTGCTTACATCAAGTAGCTATACAGAACAATTCTGTTACAGCAAAATGTTGTTTATAATAAGAGATCAACTGATGTCTGAAGGCACACTCATTTTGGCATTAAACTATTATTATCCCTATCAAACATTCTTTGTCTCTCACTTACAAGGAATAATTTTTAAAACACCCCTGTCATTTCCTTACGCTAATTGTTGGGGGAAAAAAGCTCTACCCCCCCCCCCTCCTTATAATTACAAAGAATACTTACAGGAGGTAACTGTGTCAAAGAGGGGAGTGAATCCCCAGTGCATGGACATGTAAAATAGCTGGAAATAAGAAATTACATTTTAATTCAATTTAAAAAAAACACATATGTTGTCTATATTACTATTCTGTTTTTTATCAAAGAGTAATTACACCCTGAAAATATCTTTATCTGAAAATTCTTATTTTCACTTCCTTATTGAACAAAATAACTGCTTCTTTTTAAAAATTATGAATTGCATTTTATATTCCACCCTTTTAACCAAACCCCCGCAAAAAACCTAAAATTGGACTAAAATAGGACGAAATTGGTTCAGTATTCTGTACATGCACATGTTCATAAATTGGCATATTCAAAATTTATAGCACTATCACTTGGTATTGAGTTCTTGGCATATTCTTGATTGTATATTATGATTTATTAGTGATATTCATGAATTAATGCAACATTGTCCACACCAAGGCCACTGAAATATGAAGCCTTCACATACAGTATACTTCCAACTGAAAGAAGATATTAAAAAAGTTTGGAGCATCAGATAACGTACCACCCCCAATCTGTCTCTTAGTGTCTCTTCAGTTCTTGGTAACTGGAACCAAATCAAGCTCACAATAATGGTCAGCACCAGAGTTTCTATCAGTTTAAATTTGTTAAATAACTGGGACTTTGACGTCTTGAATGTTCTGAATGTTAGTTGTGTGTACTGTGTGATGAAGCCAGTAGGCCACTTTTTCTCATGGAGTGGGTTTGTGGATGAACTATCCTCCGTTTTATCTAATTCCATTAAACTGACATGTACACTTTCTTTTTCTAAAAAGAAAAATTACAAGTTCAGCCCATTTAAAGCATTATATTTAAAAGAAAAAAATGTGAAAAGACCAAGTATTACAAAAAACATTGATTAGAAATAATGGGTACATGTACTATAACAAGAGGCCCAGGGGCCACATTGCTCACCTGAGCAAATCGGCTAGGAAAAAACACAAATCAAATTAGAACTGAAAAGTTTACTGAAGGGGGGGAGGGGGGAGGCTTGAATTTAATACTTCTTTAGAACGCCTTCATATTAATACAGCATATGACTTTGCTGTTCTTGATATAAAAAAGATTTATTTTTTCCTATACTATCACTAATTATTGCTTTGAAGTACTCTAGAAGACGATTTTCCTATATATCCCTATGTAATAAGTTTCATCAGCCATTGTGGCCCCATCCTACTCCTGGGGGTCATGATTTGAAGAAAGTTGAATCTACACTACCTGAGGATGCTTCCATATGAGTTTCATTTTTCCTGGCCCAGTGGTTCTTAAGAAGATTTTTAACGATTTTCCCTATATACTCCTATGTAAAACGTTGATCAACCATTGTGGCTCCACCCTATACCCAGGGGTCATTATTTGAACAAACTTGAATCTAACACTACCTGAGGATGCTTCCACATGAGTTTCATCTTTCTTGGCCCTGTGGTTCTTGAGAAGAAGACTTTTAAAGATTTTCCCTAGTATATACTCCTATGTAAAACGTTGATCAGCCATTGTGGCCCCGCCCTACCCCCGGGGTCATGATTTGAACAAACTTGAATCTACACTACCTGAGGATCTTTCCACATGAGTTTCATCTTTGCTGGCCCAGTGGTTCTTGAGAAAAAGATTTTTAAAGATTTTCCATATATACTCCTATGTAAAACGTTGATCAACCATTGTGGCTCCACCCTATACCCAGGGGTCATTATTTGAATAAACTTGAATCTACACTACCTGAGGATGCTTCCACATGAGTTTCATCTTTCTTGGCCCTGTGGTTCTTGAGAAGAAGATTTTTAAAAAATGCCATTAATTTTTCACTAATTCATAATTATCTCCCCTTGGAAAAGGGCGTGGCCCTTCATTTGAACAAACTTGAATCCCCTTTCACCTAAGGATACTTTGTGGCAAGTTTGGTTGAAATTGGCTAAGTGGTTCTTGAGAAGAAGATGAAAATGTGAAAAGTTTACGACTACGACAACGACAGACAACGGACAAATTTTGATCAGAAAAGCTCACTTGAGCCTTCGGCTCAGGTGAGCTGAAAATGCATAATTGCTACCATTGAAAGGTGGTTCCACAATGTCCTCAGAGTATGTAGGTCTTGATTCTATGTTTTCATCTATAATATGTCCACTGCTCCTTAATTTAGCTGGCCAATCAGAACTGTTCCTGCAAGTATACAACACATTTTCTTGAGGAAAAAAGAAAATGTTTTAGAAAACAATTTCACTTAATATTAAGGTTCATAGACCCTCTGTAAAGAGGGATTACTCTTACAAGTGTAATGGTTCTGGCCGTGGATATCGGCCTGGATAGCTCAATCGGTAGAGCACCTGACTAGTGATACAGGGGTCCCGGGTTCGATTCCCGGTCCAGCCATGCATTTTCTCCTTTCCTGTTAAGATTTGGTGCCGTGGAATTGCAGGTGAAAGTCCTGCCAGGGGCAATAAGAACTTGGGTTGTGTCTTCGAGGGCGAAGACCATTTAAGGAGGGAGGATTAATATTTTTCATTAATGGTTTTCTGGCCGTGGATATCGGCCTTTGGATAGCTGCAATCGGTAGAGCACCTGACTAGTGATACAGGGTGTGAAATGCTATTAAAATATATAAGTCCTATAGGAAAAAATTAACCAGCCATGCATTTTCTCCTTTCCTGTTACACAAGTATACATATATATCAACTAATCTTGTTTTAAAATTATGAAAGGTCACTTCTGTCAGTTTTTGCTGAACAGGGTATGCCGAAAATGCATGTTTTGTAATTTTTGGGGCAAGTGTTTAAATGAAAATCTTCTATGAGTAAACAGTACTTCTTGAAAATGCAATTCATTAAATGGTCAACAAAATAATTCTACTGCTGTATTCTCACAATGCATTGGAGATCTGTTCTATATCTTTAAGACATAGAATACTATGACACAATAAATATTCCTGCCTACCTTATTTGGTCCATGGCACTTATGATTTTTAATCTTGTTTTATCATCTTCTGTAAGTTTTTCCACTAAAAATGCACAAGAATAAAACCATCATAAAGTATATAAAAACAAAAACTCACAAATCAAGCACTTCAAGTTCATGAAAAAAATATGCCTATATGACCAATCTGCTTGATTTATACACTTAATCCTATAACTATAACTATGTGAAAAACAGTTCATTTTTTAAAAATATTTTATAGCTCTCTTAAACTAACAAAAATACCCCCAATTATTGAATTTTTGCATCAAACATTTGTTTTATATTCTTTTACCTTTCCATCACATCATTTTGATGTGACATTAACATATATGTAAATTTCTCTATGCATATTTCTACACATAACTATACACAATAATAGCATTCAAATCAATTTCATGATTTTTTTTTTTTTTAACATAGCAAATGTAAATATTTGTCACCGGGTTAACAGGTGCCTGAAATCGGGTCTCAATAGCTCAGTTGTTAGAGCGCTGGAACGGTATGCCAAACGTTGGGCACCAATTGTCACAGGTGGTGAAAAGTCAAGTCTTAACCGGGACTCAAACCCAGGGCCTCTGGCGTACCGTGCCAGCGCTCTAACCACTGAGCTATTGAGACCCGATATATTGACTGACTTTCACGCACCTGTTAACCCGGTGACATATTTATATGTATAATCATAATATTTTTCAAAAGGAACACTGTCATGTTTTGAAAAAATATGAGTAGGACAATTACGTATAAAATCTGCTGGGTTATAGTGTGGTGCCACAGGAATGTCAGCTTTGTGGAAAAAATCGACCACTTTCTCTGTATCCCCATAGTAAGCCAACTGAAATAACCACAATAATGAAAATATACAAAATTATGACACTCAAAGACAATTTTTTTTTCTATGAGTAGGTGGAAGATGCATATATAGGGAAAGAATTACTGTGCAAAATTTCTAAACAAGGTAATATTGCTTTTCCCATTATATGTATTTGATATTCACTTTTAAGTATCATAGTTTTCATACATATTATTATATAAGCCTTGGTGACTTCTTAATCAGTAAATTAATTGATGGAATGACAGTAAATGAAATTTAAAATTGTTAAAACAAGCATAAAAGACAAGACTACCAATGGTTATACATATAATCTTTGAAGGTTTAATGACAAGGAAAATGAACAAAGAAAACATAAACAAGTCATTTTCAAGTTAGTAGAAAAATTAACAAGTCATTTTCAAGTTAGTAGAATGAAGGTTAGAGAGTTACCATGATAAAAACCAAACATGTTAGGTGCTGTAAAAATCACATGCACAGTCAGTACACGTGTCAAAATCTACAACATAAAAGTGAATGAGTTAGTCTCAAATAAGCATGTCAGGAAATACATGACTGTATAATTAAACTGAAGCAATGGTTCATCTACATGCATCTAAAGCACACAGCCGAATTTTACCAGGTAATATAAATGATATTTTTGCTTTTAACGAAACTAATTAAAAACAAAACTAAAAAAAAACGACACAGTCAGAGAGAGGCTTAAGCGAATTAATGTTTCACAACAGAAGTACAGACATACAGACAAGTTACAGGTGCTTTAAATTAATTCTTAAATCTTTAGAATTTACTTTGAAAACTTTTTGAGTACTTGTGTTACAACAACAGTGTCATGAATAACAATTACTAGTAATGTGATCCCCGTATGGCTCCTGTTTATTCATTCATTCATTTTATTTAGGGCCTAATAAAGGTTTACAAACATGCTGGAAGGAATAAAAATCTCATGTTTTTTTTTTTGAAGGGGAGGCATATTACCTCTCCGCCAGAGATAAGCAATAGTTTGTGGAACTGGTAGAAGATGTAGCTGGAGGGTTGATGAATGGTTGTGATGACTGTTTTCTTGTGGTCTCTGGCGTAGGACTGTAGCATTTCAATCAGACTGAAGGCCGTGCTGTAGTCCAGACCTGATGTAGGCTCCTGTCAATGAAAAACAAATACAAGAGGCTCATGCCCATAAGGCTAACCTGATGTGGGCTCATGTCAATAAAAAACAAATACAAGAGGCTCATGCCCATAAGGCTAACCTGAGTCATCTTCAAATGAGATATCAACCTTGCAATGACTTTTACCCAAGTAAGTGATAAATATGCAAAACACATTTCCAAACTGGAAACTAATTTTAGTTTGTGATATAGATGTTTCTCATAATGTAATTGATGCTTCAGTCCTGTACTTACATCCAACAGAATCATGACTGGGTCAGTAACAAGCTCACAGGCAATGCTGGCTCTCTTCTTCTCTCCCCCAGACAATCCCCTCACCCACACATCACCCATAACTGCCAGGAAAAATGAGGATACACATCATATATCAAACATACAGATACTGGGGCAATAATTATCATCAGATTTTACGGCAGTCTCAGGTCAAGGTCCATAGTCCACTGATAGCTCTCACCAAGAATGGGAGATGATATTGGACATTTTGGCCTTGGTTAGCAACAATAATTTCAAAGACTAAGAGGCTTAATTACGGACCATTTCAAAATTCAAGATAATTATAAATTGATTAATATATAAAATATTTTACTTTTCTATCAAGAATTATTTACGTTTAACAGACTCGGCATTGTTTGTTCTTTAAATAATCAATCAAATATGTAGTTTAATCAACCAATTTTTAGTGTTAAATACAGCACTTACTTGTATCTACACATCTGGATAAATCTAAATCCTTGATAATTTCATCCACTTTGGATGTGATCTGCTCATTGGACATTTTATCTGGTAGTCTTATTTTGGCTGTAAACTGCAAAATATGAATTACTCAATTAATCACTTGTATTTTAAGTGAGACCTGACTACAACAAAGCTATATGCTCCTGTCTTGACTTGCACAAACACAGTTGAATACCTTTGTTCCCCATTCTTTTTCAAATTTCAATAAACTCAACAAAAATGTTTGAGGTTCCTAAACTTAGATGGAACATTTTATTTTTAAGAGGATGGTTGTACATTAATAAAACCTTTATAATTTACCTGCAGTGTCTCGCGGAGTGTGAGGCTTGGGAAGAAAATATCCTGCTGCAAGACGTAACAGATTTTTCTCCCCAGGTCCTTGGAAATGGGGTGTCCATTCACAGTTATGGTTCCTGAGGACAGAGGGGTGTGGCCGGCTAATGTGTTTAACAAGGTGGACTTTCCTGCACCTGAAACGAAATTTCAAAATCAATAAACTACACTTGCTTCTTAAAGAATCTAAACTTTGAGCAGTTCAGAATAAAAACCCTTATTTTTACAGAAAGAAGTGTTTCAGATGGTTCTTCTTTCTTTATACAGTAAGACAATGGTCTAATCAGGGTGTACTGTATTCCAATATCTTGTCCATAAGGATGTAAATTCAAACTTAAAGGTCCCTTCAGTTAATTCCATCAAATAAATAATTGTTGGCTAATCTGAAATGTTCAATCTATGAATGGAATTTTTATTAAAGCTTTTTTGTCCAGATTTCACGGTTTTCACCCTAATTATAATTTTGATAGTGGATGCTCTTTGTAAACCCATATGTCTTTCCCAAAGATCATCTGTCTTACTCTTCATCATTTGAACAATGTTGAAACATAAATCTATACACTTAATGAAAATCCTAGGTTGCATTAAAACAATATCTTGTTTAATTAAGCAGGGCAAAGTTAAGTAGACAGTAGAGTTTATACCTTTGAAGTTACATTAAAATTGCATGTGATTAAGAAGAAAAAAATGATTTAATATGATTAATTTCTTACCACTAGGCCCCATAATGGCCAGCAACTCTCCTGGACTGGCCAACCCGCTGACATTGTTTAGAATCAGTCTTTTGTCCACCTCCACATTTATATTCTTAAATACCAGCTCCATAATCGGTACTGAGGTCAAATAAGGTCAGCTACCATCCACAGTGACATAGGTCAACATTCCGAGCATCATTCCGGGTAATTAGCCACTGGCAGGTCTGCTGAATTTTCATGATAAAATTTAAAAAAAAATCTTTAATTTCCTACAATAAACAAATGTACGGGTAAACTACAAAAAAATAGGGGTGCACAGTCGGCCTATTTTCTGATGTATCATTACTATTAAAAGCTACTTCCTGGAACACTTATTATCCAATAGATGCATATAACCACTTGTATTGATCTTTTTACCTTCATGTAATATTAAGTCCTATAATTACAAGCAAGATCCTGTGTACTTTTAAAATTAATGCATGAACCCATATAACATCTGCCTACATGTATATTCAATGAGTGTCTAGATATGCCACTACATAAACTCTCTGTTTAAATGTTAGTTTAAAGAGGGTGCTTGAAAATCAATGTTATGCAGTAATGCTACCTTAACTTAAATATATTCAATGTACTTGAAGTTCATGCTTTAATCAGACACAACATTTGCTGCAGAATAAACAATTTATAAATGGAAAACTCACCTGTCACAGCAGAGCAAAGAAAATGTCAATATTTCTCTCCACTTCACATCAGCATTTCAGCAACATAGTGTGTATCTGTAAATACAGTAGAGATTAATGTATTAAGAATTAATGGCCAGTGGAAAACGTCACGTCCCAGTTACCCTGTCACACCTTAATTTAAACTGCTAAATAAACATTGTTAACTCAAACATTGTATGTATCAACTTTACCTCGGCTGCTTGTGTATACAAATTATACATAACTTGAAATTATATATACATACTCTTTCTCAAATTTCAACTTAATTTCTACTGTTATCTAAATAATTTTGCATAACATCTGAGTGGATATTTAATAGAACTTATGGTGTCACTCAAATTTTGAAATAAGTTTTATTTTACCTGATACAATAAAAATATTTGTGTCTGAACTATACTCATTTGTAAATTTGGAGAATATATTAAGTGCATCCCAACTTCATTCAAAGGGAATATTTATTGATGCAGTTTTAGTTTCATAATATAATTTTTAAGAATTAATCAAAGTCCTTAATTTTGGGGAAATTATTTTAAAATCTCATGATCCCTCCCTCTGACTTTTTCCCTACGAAAATAGGATAATTTTCATTGCCTTGAAAAGCACCAGTTGGTCCTCCAATTTTTTGATGCAGTGTGATCAATTTATCTTCCCAAATTTACACTGTATCCAATAATTCCGTTACAATGCTGACCCTTTCCTAACTCTATACTTAAAATTGTAAAAATTATTAATTTTTTATCCATGAAATGGAAATTAATAAACAGCTTTTACAATAAAACTCAAATATACATGTAACAAAGTCATTGGGACCTGAGAAATTACTTGCTATATCCGTAATTCGTTATAACGATATAAGAAAGTCATTAAATTATATAATTGGGGATCCAAGATGACTTTGCTATATATCCATAAATTCGCAATATCCATGTTCATACTAAACGAGTTTTGCTGTACTTGTTTTAGTCAAATTGTAGAATTATAGCAGATTTCTACATATGCTGTATTTTTTCCCTACATTGCATTTTTTTGTCCAAATTTTATATTTTATTTCAATGGTATTTGGTAATAAGACCTTCCAAGAGGTATCAGGTTAACTAGGAATAGAGTGACAACTCTACACTGGTAAATACTAAAAAGAAACAAGATGTGTTTGTGAAACACTGATGCCCCTTTATGACAACATAATGGAGATTAAACTTTTCTTAAATGCAAATTAAATTATGTTGGTGCCAAAAGTAAGGTCTTGTCACAAGAAATACATTTGTGAAAAAATATGAAAGCCCTAGGTAGCACCTCCTGTTCAAATGTTATTGTCAAGCCAAGGATAAGTTTTTGAAAGGTATGTCGAACTCAAGGGTAAAGGTCAAAGGGTCAAAGTTGTTGGTATTTAAAGAAAGGTCCCCAAGGATTGCATATCTAAATAAATATGAAAGCCATGGCCCTTATCGTTCAAAAGTTATGGCCATGCAAGGTTAAAGTTTTTAAAAGTAGGTTGAAGTTCAAGGTCAAGGTAAAAGGATATCAAGGTTCTTGATATCAAATAGAAGTATTTGTCACAAGGAATAAAATATGTGAAGTATGAAAGCCCTAGCCCTATCCCTTCAAAAGTTTGGTCAAGGTTTGTTATTTAAAGGTAGGTCAAACTCCAAAGTCAAGGTCAAAGTTCTTGGTATCCAATGAAGGGTCTTCTCACAAGGATTACATATGTGAAGTATGAAATCACTAGCTCTTACTGTTCAAAAGTTACGGCTAAGGTTAAAGTTTTTCCATATAAGTATGGAAATCTCCAAGGTCAAAGTTGTTGGTATCCAATTCATGAAAGGTCTTACCATAAAGAACTGATAAATGAAATTCCTAGTATCTACCATTTTGTGTAAAAATGGATCAGATTCCTAAGTCAAAGTTCTTGATATCAAATGAAAGGTCTTGTCACAAGAATTAAATATGTAAAGTATGAAAGCCCTTCAAAAATTATGGTCAAGGTTTTTTTTTGAAGTAGGTCAAACTCTAAGGTCAAAGGGTCAAAGTTCTCGGTCTCCAATGAAGGGTCTTCTCACAAGGATTGCATACATGAAGTTTGAGATCCCTAGCTCCAACCGTTCAAATGTTATGGCCAAGGTTAAAGTTTTTCTTCAAGTACGGAAATCTCCAAAGTCATAAGGTCAAAAGGTCAAAGTTGTACGTATCCAATAATAGATCTTGCCACAAGGAAAACATGTGCAGTATGAAAGTCCTAGTATCTACCATTCAAAGGTTATGGCCAAAGTAAAAGTTTGGATTTTTTTGTATAAAATGGGTCAAACTTCAAGGTCAAGGTCAAAAGGTAAAATTTAGTGGTACAAAAAGAAAGGTCTTGTCACAAAGAATACACATGTAAAATATGAAAGTCATTGCTCCACAAAATCAAAAGTAATGGGAAAGATTAAAGTTTTTGCGGACAAACACAGACAGACGGACGGACACGACAAAAACTATATACCCCCGAATCTTCGATTACGAGGTCTTTGAATACGTGGCATAAAAACATATTACACACGTATTACAAGATACATAAATTCATTAGTATCTATAGTGTTTATATCCCTCAGGTAATTATGTATTCAATGATTTCAATATAAACTGATTATTGATGAAAATTCTCATTTCTGCTTCAACCTGAACTTCTCTCCTGAAGTAAATGTATATGGGACTGTATACATTGTAGAGTGACTGACCTAGCCTTAATTAACCAGGATATTATAACTTATAAGCTAGGACATCAACGCAACTAACATTATACAGTTATTGACTGGGTATGAGGGCAACATATGATTTGTTGGACCTGAAGGTGAAAATGTTGCCCGAGGCCGCAGGCCAAGGGCAACATTTTCATCTTCAGGTCCAACAAATCATATGTTGCCCGAATCCCAGTCTATAACTGTTTTGTTATACCCTTCACTGCTCACTTAAGATTGATCAATTTTATCTTCAGTAGATATATAAAACATCAAGCTGAGGAAGAACAAAATCAGTGGCGGATTTAAGGGGGGGCGCACCCGGCGCGCTCCCCCCCTAAAATTGTCAAAGTTAGCGTAAATCAAATATGTCTACTTGGTAGACCTCATTTTCACCCTTCAAAATCTCTAGAATCCAGGAGCTTCCGGGGGCTTCACCCCCTGGGCCCCCACCAAGGGTTTCGTAGACCTCATTTTAACCCTTCAAAATCTCTAGAATCCAGGAGCTTCCGGGGGCTTCGCCCCCTGGGCCCCCACCAGGGCTTTGCCCTGGACCCACTGGGGGCCTCAAGGCGGCCCCCAGACCCCTTGCCTAATTTTGGCGCCCCCCCTAACTCCAAATCCTAGATCCGCGCCTGAAAATCAATTATAAATCTATTATATCACAAAAATTATTTATCACAATACATACTCTTCCCTTCTACCTTACCTTACTGTTAGCAACAACTCTTAATAGCTCTTATCTTCGGCTATTTTCGCGTCGCCGATATTGAACGATGATTATTAATTGTGACGTAACAGACAAGTGACGTTGCGGTCTAACAATTCTTATGTAAGACCGGTCAATAGTGAAATTGTTAGACCGATGTAATAAACATTTCTTTTGTTGGACTTTTTATTAGTAATAAATATATAGACGGATATTTATAAGGGTATAACAAAATAATTTATCTTACAGTCAACAAACATTAGGTCTGTAGAAAAAGAAAACTTTAATTTCTTTCTGCTTTCCCAGCTATTATGCTAAACTTTTCTTTATTTTATTTATTTTCAATATTGAATCTTTTTATAAGTGAATATATAATTTACTCTGAATTCCCCCCCCCCCCCCCCTTATTTAAACAATTTATATTTTAATTTATCACAGAAACCATGGTTACCATCTGGTTACCAAGTGAACCATTCTTGTCTTGAATATACAGTACCTGAACCAGACCCAAACTGACAGAAATCAGTCCTATAATTCCAAGGACTGCTTTCAACTTGAAATTCAAGATTGTACTTCAAAAGTGAAAGTAAAACTAATTTATCAGCCGATATTTCGTTTGGACTGCTTAATTATTCAAAAACTTTAATATGTTTATCTTTTGACTCTGGCAATATCAGTCTTATGAAAAATAGGGTCTAATACTTACAATTGACAAATATTTAAAATTTGTTAAATAATACGATCATCTGCCTTTGCCTCTCTTGTCAAGTCCATCGTTCCCAGATGCACAACGAAAGATAACTCGTGTGTATACAACAAGAGGCCCATGGACATAACGCTCGCCTGAGAAAGTTAGCCCTGCTGTTTCTGTTCCGTTGAAAAATAACGATCCTATTACAACCTAACCCAAAGTATAAAAAGTGTCTGAATATACACAATTTTATTTTTTCACTATTATGAAAATTCCTAGGCTATACCCAAGGGATCACTTGCAACTCACTCACTCAATCCTCTCTGTGCCGTCAGATGCTTGAGGCGGCTACAAGGGATTTCCACCTGGTTCTGTCTGCAGCTGTTCATGGAGCTGTCGCTATGGTTAGACCTCTGCTTACAAACAAGCAGGTTTATACCGGGCATGTAGCATCAAGCCCCCCCCCCCCCCCCCCAATCACCACTATACCACCACCACCAATAGACATTAGTTTTTCTTTAGAAAATGTTTATTGAAAGTACAGTTACTCCCCCCTTTTTTTGGTTGCAGTATTGTCAAATAAGGGTAATATAAATGTAATGCAGTGTTCGAGTTAAAAAAAAAAGGTACTAAAAGAAATTAAAACACATCCACTTTATTTATAATTAATAATTAAGGAAGGTGACTGGGGTTTCTAATACTTTGTGTATTGTAGTAAAATAAAGTGTATTTATTCTTTTAAAGACGCTTTTTTCACAAAATTGCAAAAAGTTGACAGAGTGTGACGATGAGACAGGTTCAATCACCATGCAGTGACTAGACATCTTATAGTAAGTAGACCATCTGCATAATAATACGCTATTAAAATTAAATACAGGGGGGCTGGTTTAAAAATGGTCCATCAAATAACATTTTAGTCCCTTCTGATTAATCAAACTTAATGAATAAAATATATTCTAAACTAATCAAACTTAAAAAAAAATCAGAGGTTCTGGAAGGAAGGAAATGCTTACAAAGACAACATAGGACATATGGCAGAAGATCATCAGAAGATGTACAATTGTTTGAAATATTACAGGAAAAAAGTGTCCTTTCTTAGAAACAACATCCCTACAGATGGCCCAACTAGGGGTTGTATAGTTCCTTTGGAATGACTTGCTAAAAACTATAATCAGGATGCAGATGCTAAAGCAGAGAACAGGGAGTGTCAGGGACATAATAGCATAAGCTCATCATCAAAACAAAGTCAAGGTGAGATAAAAAGTCAACAAATAAAACTTGCGCAAAACGACAATAAAAAATGGAATTTAATCCTAAATTGATTGCATCTGACATGTTACAAAATTATTTCTCAGACAATGAAGAACCATGATACATGTGAGCAATTTAGGACACCTGTTGTTTACTTGTAATAAACATAAAAAAATTACATGTACAAATTTACATTACTTTGTTTACTACAACTTGAGCACAATGTCAAAACAGTCTTTAAATAATGTCAATAAATAAATAAAATTCCAAATTATTAATAAATGTATTATGTTCCTTGTGCGTTTTGTTTGTATTGTCTGAGTGCCTGTAGAAACACTTGTTTAGTCTCTTCCATCATTTCTCCAAACATTCGGAGATCCTCTTCCTTTGCCTTAAGTGTACTTTGTAAAGCTGCTTTCAGAGCCTCATTTTCATCCCTCTGGATCTCCAGACTTTAAAAAAGGAAAAAAAGAGGCATAAAACAGATTTTTAAAAAAAATATGTTTAAAGCTCACCTACTCTTGTACATTCTTTAAAAAATTTTGCTTTTACACTCTTTTGAAAAAAAAAAGCACTTTTAATGCATAATAAAGAGATGTATGTGGATAATATCAAAAAGTCCATTGAGGTTAAATTTAGCAAAATTTTAATTTTTATTTTGACAATTTAATACAGTGTATAAAGAAATAATATAACTTTTCCTAGAGATGAAAGTTATCGCCCTTATCGGAGGGTCAAATAATGAAACTTTCTATAGAACTCAAATAAACATGCAGTGATACAAGTTTTATAAAAATTCTTGCCGTTTTAAATGAAAATAATGGACTAAATATCATAGTTACTTTGTTTTAATTTCCTCGTAATCTTCAAATTCATTCTCCTCATTTGTCAGACCTGCAGAAAAACTGGCCGACACTGACACGTTTGTCATACTGCTGGCCCTGTTTCCAAGCACCTTCTTCTTTCCAACTGCAGCTAAAAAAATTATCCATTGTTTAGTTGGAATATATTTTCTTTCACTGAAAATGCTTTTCAAGTTACCATTACTGCATATAGGGGAATTTTAGCGCAAACTTTCAACAGCAATTTTATTTTAAGTCTTTGAAAGTCATTTTAAATGTACAAGGATCTTGAAAGAGATTTAAAACTTTGTATTCATTTTATCATATCAACAACTCACCACTTCCCCCCTTTGCTCCGGTTGGATCTATTTTACTTTTGCCAACCTGTTTTTCAAGCAGAGCATTCTTGCGTCTTTGTTGGACAAGTTCATTCTGACACTCTAAGTATTTTTGGGAAGCTTCTTCATTCCTTTAATTAAAAAAATTCTTAAATTTTCTCTTCATGCTTTTAAAATACATATGTGTTCTGCATTCCATTAAAAGTTCAGGTATCTGTGATGAACAAATGAAACTGAAAATCTCTATTTCCTTAGAAAAAATACTCTTGAAACAAATTCACAGAATTAAATATTTCAGAGTAATTAAAGTTCCTCCTCTATTAATTTTTTCTGTAATAACAGAATAACATAGTACCTTTTTTCTAATACTTGGACTAGTTCAGACAGTTTGTCTCTTTCCACCTGAGCCACCTGGTATACTGTCTTGTATTCCTGACATTGGGCCTGGAGTTCAGCCATGGCTTGTTTATCAGTATTACTCCTAGACAGTGAAAATAAAGGTACTGATCAAATCTGGCAACCAAAGGTTACATGCTCATCGAAATTTCTTATCCACCACTCATTTAAGAGGCAATACTACTGAACATAGGATTATTTTTGTCCCAGGTTATTTTCATCTTTTCACTCTTACAAAGAATTTCGCCTCATTTTATATTCAATTAGACACAGCACCGACAGCAGTATTTAAGAGATTATATTTTTTAATTGTTTGATTTTAAATTCCTCTACATGTGACGAAAGCAAAAACACATGTAAATCGTAAAGTCAGTTCATGATAATTTACACAGGAATTTTTCAATAATGCATGGTCATTGAACACAATTAACTAAAGACATCAAAATTGCATACAAATCTACTAAACCTAAACATTTTACTCTATTTCTAGTAGAACCTTGAAAACCAAGCACAAGGAATATATCTACAAGACATAATAATGATACCCATGTCATTAGAATGGCTGGTTAAAATTTTAATAAGTATATGTATGTAACAGAAATTCTATTTTGTTGATGGCTTACATGTGAAATGAGGGTGTCCGCACAGCTCCTTTCCTAGAGCCACTCCTGGTCACCTCTGCTGTATTGTTGTCTGTCTTTCTGGACGGTGCACGTGCTGTGTCTACTGTGCTGGCGACAGAGGGACACCGGTCCAGTGCACTGTTTATTATTGGAGGTTTATCACTCATTCTACAAACAGAAATTTCATAATGTATATCAAGTCTGGTTTTTTCTTCTGATTTCATTTGCTACACAAGAGAAAATGCAGTTAGTTATGCGTTGCCAAGTATGGTGTAATGATTTGAACGTTTTTTTTTTCAATTTTTGTAAATTTAATTCTTCCGATTTGCCAAACAACCATATCAATGGAAAAAAAATCAAATAATAATCAAGTCAGATATTTACCTATTAAGTTGAATGATAAGTAATATTATATTAACAAGAGGCCCATGGGCCACATCGCTCACCCGAGCATTGTGGCTAGGAAAAAGTAGTAATTGGTTTATTATTGAAAACTTTGAATCCAAAAGTTTTGGCCCCGCCTACCCCCCGGGGTCATGATTTGAACAAACTTGAATCTACACTACCTGAGGATGCTTCCATATAAATATGAGCAATTATGGCTTTGCTATTCTTGAGAAGATTTTTTAAGAATTTTCCTATATAATTCTATATAAAACTTTGGTCGGCCATTGTGGCCCCGCCCCACCCCCGGGGTCATGATTTGAACAAACTTGAATCTACACTACCTGGGGAAGCTTCCATATAAATATGAGCAATTCTGGCTTTGCTGTTCTTAAGAAGAAGATTTTTAAAGAATTTTGCTATATATTTCTATATAAAACTTTGGTCGGCCATTGTGGCTCCGCCCTACCCCCGGGGGTCATGATTTTAACAAATTTGAATTTACACTACCTGGGGATGGTTCCATATAAATATGAGCAATTATGGCTTTGCTGTTCTTGAGAAGAAGATTTTTAAAGAATTTTCCTATATATTTCTATGTAAAACTTTGGTCGGCCATTGTGGCCCCGCCCTACCCCCGGGGGTCATGATTTGAACAAACTTGAATCTATACTACCTGGGGTTGCTTCCATATAAATATGAGCAATTATGGCTCTGCTGTTCTTGAGAAGAAGATTTTTAAAGAATTTTCCTATACATTTCTATATAAAACTTTGGTCGGCCATTGTGGCCCCGCCCTACCCCCGGGGGACATGATTTGAATAAACTTGAATCTACACTACCTGAGGATGTTTCCCCATAAGTTTCAACTTTCCTAGCACAGTGGTTCTTAAGAAGAAGATTTTTAAAACATACCACCAAATTTTCACTAATTCTCAATTATCTCCCCTAATAAGGGCATGGCCCTTGATAATTTGAAAAACATTTCCCCTTCACCCAAGGATGCTTTGTGGCAAGTTTGGTCTGATTTGCGCAGCGGTTCAGAAGAAATCAAAAATGTGAAAAGTTTACCACACAAGAATAGAAGGCGATATTTATCAAACTGTGAAAAAAGCTCATTTTTCATGAGCTAAACATCCAGATTTCTACCTGGAACTTGCTGGAGTGTGTGAATCTAACTGGAAGTCCAGCTGGATGTCCCCATTTTCAGCTGTCCCGGGTCTGGAATCCCTCTGGGTCACCTGAGCTGAGGAGGGTGGTCTCTGTCCAGCAGGCTGGAAAAGCATATTTGCCGACTCCATCTGAGCTCTCTGTAGATGCTGAAGAAAATCAATCAACACTGATACATCTCTAAGTCAATATAGTACCCAGGGTTATTATTCTAACCTGAATTATACTTATCAATCCATGAATCAATGTGACACAGACCTTAAAGTCAATTTTAGAGAGGAGACCCAAGGGTCATAATGCTCAGTTGCTCACATGGGTAAATTCTACCATGCATTTGTAAGCATCAGAAAGATTCTGATCTTCAAATTTAAGTACGCTTTCCTATCAATCTAGCTATGACCAATTAGCTAGGGGGTGTCCACACTGTGGCTCAAACCTACAACCCTCAGATTTAAAATCCAATGCTCTACCAACTGAGCTAGAGGGTTAACCCCCTAGCTAGTGCTAGCAGGAGTATGGTCTCACTATTTACATGTACAACACCTGGCCACTTTCAACTCTGTTACATAGCACTGGGACTATACTCTGTTGTCTCTCCTCATTTATATAACTTACATTGAGCTTTAGTTGCTGAATCTCATCTTCAAGCCTGTGAACCTTGGCCTCCTTTTCAGCTACAATGGCCTTGAGTTGTTCCACCACATTGCTGTCCTGCTGGGTTTTCATGGACATTTGTTTAATTTCGTTCTGTGACTTCTGAGAGGTCTCCTTTTGCTGATTGGCAGTCTGCTCCAACAATTGCTGTAGGTGACTCTGTTGTTTCTGTGGTATAGTTCAATATTTAATTACGGGATTTCTAATGAATAGATGTAGATACATGTATGTAAAATAATTGTTCAATGAAAGCCTTCTATTCAGTTTTGTTTGAATACTTTAGTGATTTCTAGGGTTGTACACTGCATGTAAATTAATTGTTCAATGAGTGTGATTTACTCAGATTTTTTTTTTTAATATAAAATTATATACTCAGATTTGTTTTAAAACATAAAATTATATAAAGAAGTTTGAATGTATACATGTACATATACTAAAAGAAAAACATATACTGAATTTCTTTATTATACCAATATATGGCACAACCTTTAACAGATATTAAATCAAAGCAAAACTGCAATGTTCACTACCATTAAAGCCTGAATAAGCTCATCATCATGGTGGCCTTTATCCAGCAGTGTCTTCATCTGCTCTTTTAAGCCCTTGTTTTGATTGGCTAGCACACTATTTCTGTAAGCAACACATCCAATCAGAGCTCAAATCAGACAAAACCAATGATGCATGCAATCAAACAGTCAAATCATTGTCAACAACTAAACATTACTATTGTTATTGTTAATGACTACTTTCAAACTTTCAAACAAGAACAACATCAGAAAACAAACCATTGAGGGAAAAAGAACATTTGTGGTAAAGTAAACAATGACAATGCTAGAATATGACACAGATTTTAATGATCTAACTTCAATCAAGATATCTTAGAAGACAATATATTCCTTCTTTATCTATGGGATTCAAGTTTTATTTTATTGTTATTTATCAATGAATAATTATGTTTTCTATAATATGCATGTCAGCATGCAAGAAAAAAAAATAACATGATATTATGTATATTGTTATCAAATTTCAGTCTTCATGCTTTTAAAATAACTAAAAAGTTATTATCAGAGTCCTATTTACCACAAACGTCGAATAGAATAAGCACTGATCTAATAAACAACAAAGTTTGAATTGTCAACATTAAATTGCGCAAGACATCTCTATTTAAGGTAATGGTGATGTTGATAATTTACTAATGCATACATCAACTTTGAAATGCAGTGTAGCTTTACAACATAAGCTATCATTATAAATAGCGCATCTGTTAGTGACACAGATAAATTTACTCTCTGTATACCATTAGAGCCTCTATCAATTCATCATCATGGCTTGCTTTGTCAAGTAAAACCCTCAAGTGACCCTTCAATGCAAGGGTTTCACTTGACAAAATACGGTTCCTGGAAATTTGAAAGAAAGATTCACATTGTCATTTGTACAATGTTTTTTTTTTTCACCCACTCAACAATCAAGCGAGTATATCACCTCTGAAATAAATATAAAAGATTACTCCAAGAAGAGAAAAAATTGTAATTTGAGTTGCTATTGTACATACCTAGTTTTGGCTGCATCAAGCTTCTTCTTTACAGTTGCATGATCTTCTTCCAATGCCTTGAACTCATTAGCAGCTTTCTAGAAAGGGAAATCCAGAGTTGCAAACAATCTGACATGAATATTAAACCTTGTTATCTTGAACTGAAAGAGTCCAAGAAAAAACTTTTAGAGGTTCCAAGATTCAAGATATTGTGGGTAAAATACTTTAAATATGAGTGGTTGGGACTTAAAAATCATTCTGAAATATCCATGGTATTCAAAAAGGTGTTTTAATGGATTTTATTGGAAGCTTTTATTATGTTGCCCTCATTATTATGATATTTTTATCGGGACAAAATGAACATGGTAATAATGAGTCCTCACTGTCTTCCTTGCAAGATTTAGAGTAATTATCAGTTAAGCTTTTCCCCTTACTTCCTGAGATTCCTTCCTCTCTTTCTCAATCTTCCTGAGTTGTTCCCGGTGCTTCTCTATGGCCGTCCTCTGTCGAGCGGAACTGTTTCCTGTCCCCAACATCTCAGCCTCAAGGTCATACTCTTTCTCTTTCTGTGGCTTTTTTGTAGAAATTTCTGCCTTTAGCTCATCCACCTAATACATCAGAAAGCAAAATATGATTTAAAAATATTTATTCAATATTCATTTCATTTATTGACAAAACATTATACATAAGCACAAATGAATGAATACAACAAATATGCAAGATTAAAAGTATTTCAAAAGTCTCTAACAATTTTTCGGCTAAGGTCACCCAAAAATACTTTGTGTCAAGTTTGGCTGAAACTGGCACTTGAATTCAGGAGAAAAATTTGAAAATATTTTATGCTAATGCTGCAAAAAACGACGAACATATTTTGATGAGGATAGTTCACTTTATCCTTTGGTTTAGGGGATCTGAAAACAATTCCTACAGTTTAACTTATGTTGCTGCAAATAAAGGGATTTTGAAAATTTGTCTGTAAATGCAGAGAAAGAGAGAGAGAGAGAGAGAGAAAGTCTATAAGTTGTATTCTATTTGTACTTACCTTCTTTTGTAGCATCATGATTTGTTGAGCCCTTCCTTTCCAGTTGCTCTGGCTGTTCAGTAGTGACTGTATGTTAACATTGTCTCCAACCTCCTGACTTAGCACCTGTAAGACAAAGATCTCTTGAAAATAGCCTTCTACTTCAGAAATTTCAGATTAAATGACTCTTATCATAGAAACTTACTAAAACGACAGTCAAGCATTGCTTGCTTTGTGTTCATATACATTTAATTCTTCACCTCATGTTTTAAATGCAACTACATCAAGACATGATTTTTTCACGTAAATTGTTTGAATTACCTTGTGAACCATTTTGAGTTCCTGTTTTAGTAAGGAGGTCTGGTTTCTGAATTCAGCCATTTTGCTTTCAGCATATTTTAATTTGTCTTGTAAAGACTTGACATCAACGGAATCATCAGGCTACAAGTAAAAGTAAACAATATAAAACATACTTTTTGGTGATTTACAATGCTACTTGGAAGCAAAAGCCACTTGAAATTTAGAAAGGAGTACATGTATTACGTAATTTATATAATAAATGAAATGAAATAGATGGAAAAACCATTGAGTACTCTGTATACCTTGTCATCAATTGTGGACCGACTGGTTGCTGAACTTATCATTGACCTGGTATCTTCAGGTATTCTACTGAGCTAAAGAAATATACAAGCAATTCACTTTAACACACCAATTTAAGGGAATAAAAAGTATTATTATACTTTCATGTTAAATACTAAAATCTGATTGGTTTAGACACAGTTAACAATCTGTTCTATTACCCTCAGCCTTAGCAACACACGTGACAACGGGTAACACAACGGTAATGCCACATGCGTGGAAATTATGTGCGTACGGTTCACCGTAAATGTAGGTACAAAAAAGACTCATTGCGCATTTGAAAGAAAATTTACTTGACGTCAATAAAAGCTTTTTTCCAATGTAGCTTACTTGAAAACAACAAACGACAGACGAAACATGCTTGCAAGTGCAGAAATAACAAAACTTTAGATGATAAGGCCAGCATTTTTTTATTTTTAGGTTTACGAACATCAGAATTTGAAAAATCTTTGTAGGAGGAGGAAATTAAAATTAAAAAAAAATTTTTTTTTGGATACATTATCGACTTTTCTACATTAATTTTTGCTTCTTTTTTTATGCTCTCTTAAGAGGCTCCTTGCCACTGGACACATAAGGGTTACAAAGGGGAAAATAGAACCTTTAATTGTTTATTTCATCATCTACCAGTTGGGGCAAGTGATATAAATGATAAAGCTTGTGATGTTGTTCAAAATACAGATTTAAAAAAAAAACAACAGTTTTTTAAAACTCTTTCAATATATATGTATCTTCATATTTTTAATATGTACATGTATTAAATGTGTTGAAATTGTTCTTTATATACATGTACTTATAAAGATAAAATATATATATTCCTTTCTGGTAAAACAGACAGGGAGTATTGGGGAGCAAGATGAATTTTTTTTTTCAATTTGAATTAAGTGTAAAATAATTTTCCTGAATGCCACAAAAAAAATGCCTGTATATATTTGTAATTTTGTATATACTTGTTTTTAAATAGTTGAAATATTTTGTTTCTTTGGGCAAAATTATTGTTTATTTCTTCCTCAAATGGACAATCTCTCACATAGTTTTATTCAGTACATCTGATGAAAATGAAGATTATTAATTTGCTGCTGAGACTTCTATAACAGATACTTAAACAATGTCTTTGACAAAAGCTATCATGGGCAGTTTTTAAACCTGTGGGAGGAATTATAATTTACAGACTGTGAAAAACAGATACTTTTGAATACAGATCTATACAAAATTATAAAAACATGTCATTTAAAAATCAAAGTTGTCAGCACTTTATTTGTTCTCTGAATGAGTGAAACGTTTTGATATGTTTACTTTACATTCGATAAATATTTACATTAAACCAAGGTTTTAGTGCTTTCTATGGACTTGATTGAAATCTACCTTTTCCACGTCATCATCTTTTAAAACCTTTTGTACGACCTATCTAATTCTTAACAAAACCGGATTCCGAAAATTTGACATGGTGCTTCAGAAAAAAATCTGATTTTCTCAATTTTATATTTTTTTCAAAAAGGCAAAAACTTATGGCGGGTTTGAAAAGGTAAAAAAAAAAAATGCTTAATAAACAGTCTTGTAAATAAACAATAAAGAGGTCAATTGTTATCTTTTTTGATGTAGCGGGGAGTTTGAAAGCACTAAACGTGTAATCGGTCGAAATGTTTGTGTATTGCTGACATAAAATATAAGAAGACATTCATGTATCAATAATATTTTACTTTCATTTTTTTGAATTTTTAAACATCAAATATATGATCTTAGAAAACAGAGCTAATGTTAGAACCGTCGGTTGCAAAACCAGAATATATTTTGACCCTCAAAAAATCTTTTTGACCCCCAAAAGTTTATATCAAAGGGTCATGATGACCCTTGGTTTTAAAAATTGGCAGAAACACTGTTAATTAACATCAATCAATATTTTGATACAATCATGCAGTTTCTCCCTTCCCTTTTTAAAACAGGAGAAACAATTCACTTTCAAATAAAATAAATCATGGTCTTGAATAAATTTTAATGATATATTAAGTTTATATTATTTGGCGACATGTGTTATCACAGATTTACTCATTGTTTTAAACTCAATGGGACCAGGAAAAAAACTTCAAGATGTCTCAGAGTTGCTGATATTGAGGGTAAAATAAATAAAGAAAAGAGCTTTGAACTTCCAATTACTTTGAAAAATCCATGGCATTTGAGATATCAAAGCTAGAGATACTTTAAGTAAGCTGTGTATATTTGATTGATCAGTATGATAAATTTTACTTTAACACCTGTGTACCTTAAGGTCTAAGTTATCTTCTACCCCAAATGCTATAGACGAGGTTGTTCTACTACTAAGACTTGATTTTTCCTTCTCTTTTTCTTCTTTTCTTTGTTTACGTCTTAGTAGTTTTTGTTGTTGCTGTTCTTGAAGTGTATAAAAATTGTTGCTTTAGTGTCTCACTTGCCGTTTCTGTGGCCATGATCCTTTGGAAGCTTGTAATTTTACTCAGCACTGTAATTTGATTTACATAACGAATATTTTAAAAGAGAGCGAGGAAATTCGGTTGAGAATTCATGTACGTGTATTGGCTATTTATGTGATTTTGTACCAAATCAAAGAATTAAACAACAACATATTTTTAACAAATAAGATTTTACTTACCTCGTGAATGTTCCAAAACCTTTTAGATGTCATTACTTGATAGATAAACGGAGAAACAATTCACTTTCAGCTAAAATAATTCGCGTAGGTAGCAATAAATTTTAAGTCGATATATAATTTTTTATTTCGCACCGACTTTATCAGCGTGCTGTGATTAGTTGAAAAATTTTCTATAAAAAATGCGGGAAATTTAAATTCTATAAAGGGGAAATACTCTGTGTTAAAGAAGAAAATATTTGTTTTTTTTAACTTATAAATTCATGCCTTTTAAAATAATTATTATTTGATTGTTTGTTGTTTCACGTCCATATTGAGAATTTTTCACTCATATTGAGACCCCACCATTAAGAACTGCAATTTAGATCAGTATACTCAGGACCACTGAGCATTGAGAGGTCTTCTCTTTTACCCTCCGCTTGTTTAAGCGGGAGGGTTAGTAGTTTTTGTTGTTGCTGTCTGTTACACTTTGGGGTACTTTATCTCTTATTGCCGTTCCTCTCCATGATCCACTGAATGAAATTTGATGAGACTTTCACAGAATCTTTATTACATATTGCCATTGAGCACCTAGCTCCTATTTTACTTTTTGATCTGACACATATTTTGGGTTTCCCACAAAACATGGACACCCATTATATTCATATGGGAGGCAGGGGTTTCATTTAGTGAGCTCATTGCTCACAGTACCTCTAGTCACAGGGGCATCTTATCCACTCTGTTCTCTACTTCACATATAAAAACAACAACGGAAGTCGATAAATGGCATTTTTTAGAATCGCACCGACTTTATCAGCGTGCTGTGATTAGTTGAAAAATTTTCTATAAAAAATGCGGGAAATTTAAATTCTATAAAGTACTTGTGTTAGGAAAATATGTGTTTTATCCATCGATAAATCAGCTTTTTAAAATAATTATTATTTGATTGTTTGTGTGAATCACGTCCATATTGAAAATTTTTCACCCGGATGACAATAGGGTAGTACCCCACCTTCCGAGTGCCATTTAAGATCAGTATACTCAGGACCACTGAGCATCCGAGGTCTTCTTTTACCCTCCGCTTGAAAAGCGGGTGCAGAAGGCTGTATTAGTTGGATAAAAGCTATTTGTCTGTATATTTGGGGTACCCATTTTAGCCTCAACTCCTCTCATACCACTGAATGAAATTTGATGAGACTTTCACAGAATCTTTATTACATATTGCCAAAGAGCACCTCCTATTTTACTTTTTGACCTGACACATATTTTGGGTTTCCCACAACAAAACATGGACACCCATTATATTCATATGGGAGGCAGGGGTTTCATTTAGTGAGCTCATTGCTCACAGTACCTCTAGTTTGTGGTAATATCAACTGCGACATGGGACTTGAGTTTATAGTATCATCCAAAGGATTGGTCTCCATGTCTCACAGTGGGATTCAAACCTGCAACATTATGTTACATAAGGATCAACTCCTTTTTAGAGCAGCTAGAACAGTCTGTACCACAGCAGGCAACCCTATTTTAAATATTTAATTTCCATAATGTTGCTCACTATAATCATTTCAATTTTGTTTGATGATTGTACTTTGGAGTAGCAAATATTTTTAACTAAGTTATAAATTTTCAAACCCAAAAGAAGTTGTATCAGGAGAGGAGAAAATGCAGCGGACCAGACAAGAATTTGAACCCGGGCCCCCTGAATCTCCAGTCATACTCTAACGACTGAGCTATCTGGCTACCATCAATCAAACTTGGCTGACCGCCTCATTCCTCCCTCCATATACATGTAGGTCTTTGGCCCTCAAAGACCTCCAACCCAGGCTCATCCCTCTCAGGCCTCTCAACTGTCAGTTCCAGGGCATGGCACAGCATCAGATGTAACGAGAAGGAGAAAATGCAGACCAAACCAGGATTTGAACCAGCTAGGGCTCCCTGGATAGCTACCACATACCACATACACATACCAACTGAGCTATCTGGCCACCAGTGATCGAACCCGGCTGACTACCACATAGTGAGCTGAGATGTAAACATGGTAAACTGCATCCTTTCTAATAACATTTTATGCCAGCTTTAATATGGAAGCACCCCCTTTTGTGATTGGTGCCTCTCAGTGAGTGCATGAACCTTGGTAGAAAAGAAGAATGAAGTTTGTAGGTGTCCAATGACCTATACAATGTATAAACTTGGGTCCTCTGATGTTGTGAGGATGACTTACATGTAGCCCCACCCCAGGCTGACCCCTGAACTTAAGGAGCCAATTTAACAATGTTTAAGTCAACTGAATCTTCCATGCATGTCTGATCAATGTAGGGCATAAAAGTACTTAAAAAGAACAAATCACTAAAAACTTGGGACGCTGACACAGAGGGTATCAAATAAGCTTCCCTAACTTCATTGAGCTGAGCAAAAAATGTGAAAAGGATGGGTGGGCTTATGTTCTAGCCATATTAATTCACTCGATAATCATTTTTTAAAAGTTCTATTGAGGACTCTGCTAAA